CCACCACTATATCCTCCTATGTCCTCCTCTTTGTCATAGTGCTATGGTGCTATTTTAGGATCTGTTTGGATAGATTAAAATTCTAAGAAATAGTTTGCTGGTAGTCAGCTTTTGAGAATTTGGAGAGGCTGGATTTTTTAACTTTTAACTTCTAGTTTATTTTCTGAATTATATAATTAACTACAGATTATAAGAATCTAGGTGAGAATTGAGAGAGCTGGAGTTTCTAAGAGAAGCTACCGCAGCCAAAAAAAAAAAAATCTCCCAAACAGAACCTTACCTAGATTCCTCTGGTCATCTCTGACCGGAGGTTTACATTGCTAGATCCACTATGACCTCTTGACCGCTTGCCATCCTTGCTCCAACACCAACCGAGCCTACGGCCAAGCTAGGCGCTACATCACCGTTGTCTCAGTGTCTCCTGGGCCGCTTGTGTCACCCACAAATCAAGCTACCACACAACCGCAACCATGAATCATTTAAAACCTGCAAACCCCTTAAAAAAAATACCACATGAGCTTGGCCATTAATTCTTGCAGTATTGCCCCCATTCTCGCACTGCCTACTCTGAACCATAATCTTGACGAGGATCAAATGGTGGTTAAATCAACTGAATTTTTCTTGATTTTAAGGTGACTGGCATAAATGCATTTCGTTTTTATTAATACATATCATATTACTTTTTATTTATTTAACAGGTGCCCAGGTTCATAGACTCTAGAAAATGGGTGGTATTCAGAGGACGAAGCAAACATAAGGCCTTGTTTAGATTGAGGAAAACAAAACAGAGAAATAAAAATGTAGGAAAAGAAAACATAAAAATGCACATGTAATAAAACTGAAGAATTAGGAAAAACACAAAACTTTATATATAGTGGATGTTTGCAATACAAGAATTTTAGACTTTGCTTAAACTAACAAGGTATTAGATATTAGCTAGATTTCTTTTTAGGTCAAGCTAACCTCATCTATTACCTTTTCTTTTCCATGGGAAAATTTTCCCTTAGATTTGAGCTCCTTTTTCTTTTCCATTCATTTTTACTAGAAAAATAATAGACTAGAGAAGCCTAGGAAAGTTTTCCAAAGGATTCTTGGGTCCATTCCTCCATTTCAAGCAGTCCTATATGTAAAAAAAAAATAAGTGGGTTTCAGATCCTTTGATTTTCATTTGAAGTTCCTCCATACCCAACATACCCAGAGGCGGATCCAGGAAAGATTAACAGGAGGGTCTAAACAAACTATACAAAATTATAGCCCCCTCTTCTAATAAACGTATGACAGAAAATTTTAGTGGGATCTTCATGGGGTCTCCCATGATTACAATATGGGTAGTGGAGTCTCGAGACCCTAGAGACCCCAGGTGGACCCTAATATATGGCATAAGCGAAAGCGAAATAATGCACTTGACAATTGATACAACACTCAAATGGGTCATTTCCTCACATTCGATACTAGGCAAGTCCAGAATTGATACCCAAATTAAACCATCTCTTAAGAAAAATACCAGAAGGGATCTTAATTCAACCGCTCAACTAGTAAGTCTTTGAAGTGGAATCACAATTTGAGAGACAGGCCAGTAGTTTTTGCGGTGCTTAATTACGAACAGTCAAAACTGGTTAATATAATTTTCTACTGATAGTTAATACGCACTAATTCATTCATACATATTTCATCTAAAAATTAATAGATTTATATCTGTACACATACTCGATCAGGGCAGAACGTGAGAGGCCGATCGAGAATTAATTAAGTGCTGCGTCCGTGTTGGGCCGGTCAATGGAGGAATGTGCATTTTGCATATTGGGCCGTACGCGCTGCCACGTAGGCCCGCGCGAAGAATAAAATAGGCCCACCGTGAGCCCATTGAAACTGTGTACTTTGATATGCTGGCCTTAGCTAAAATTCTCAAGAATTAAATCTCCTTCAAGGAAAAAAAACCTAAAAACTAAAAAGTCAGGAATTTGCCAGTTTAATATAAAAAAAAGGAATCGGCCAGTTTCGGTCCTCTTGCGAGTTGATACTGTTCAATGTGCAAAACTATAACTAAATTTGTTAGTGATGCGGTTTTGTTAAGCACCTGTTTGCCATAATTGTTGTGGTTACGTACCAAGTAACAAATTCCATTATCTATAAAAAAAACATACCAAGTAACAAAATATCCCTTATTTATGCAACTTGGACCAAAGAACATGTGTCTTATATAAATTGCTGTAATATTTTCTTTATCTTGTTCATGTTTTATTATTGATGGTATAGTGACGACATCACTTTTTTTGTTAAAACCATTTCTGTTTGAAGTTGAACCAAGAGATGTGAAATGTGCAAATTTTTAAAATCAGAGGGGCGAATAATTAACATTTTGATAGCTCAACGATCAAGACAAGAGTAAAAACTTTAGTTAACCGGACAAATATGATTCGTTTTTTATTTAAGGATACAGAGAAAGCCAGTAACTTAATCCAAGGAATTCAAACAGGTTAGAGAATAAACAATGATGTAACACCAGTATTTGAGAGAGAATGCCCATATAGGAATTTTGAAGATACAGAGAAAGCAGAAAAAAGAAAGAATACTGCAGTCCGTTGATTAATGGATAACTTAATGTCATATATAAAACTATCTGTGGAATCAAATCATTGACCACACGAATATATTTGAGATAACTAAATAAACCATCTGTTTATGTGAGTTGTTTATTCGTTGTTGAGAACTTGAGATATGACGTGAAAATGTTAAAAAAACGCAAATATTAGAAAATGACCTAATATCAAATAATTAGAAGGGGTGAGGCTTCGAATCCAGATTGTCTAGCCCACTATCTTGTGAAGCTAGCCAAAAGATTTCTAGGTGTTTCTCACGTGAAAAATGTTATATAAACAATAACACATTCTAAAACTATTGTTAACGATCTTATAAGGCGAAAGAGCTTAGTGTTTGGCTGCTGTGATCATCAACTCGACAGCACCATCTAAGTGAACCTTCAACCAATTATATTGTCAGGTTATGGATACCACATATCTAATAGTAGTTGACTAAATCTCGGCAGGACCTACCACATACTATGTCCTATACGGAAACAACCTACAGATATAGGAGGAGTTCCGGATAAGGAAAGACAACCAGAATTCTACATGAAAACGACAAGGACTACTCGGATTGTATCCATATTGGTTTTCCTAGTTCTACTTGGACAAGGAGACACCTATAGGTATAAATACAAGACCCCCTAGGAGGAGAGGGGATACGGACAACACGGAACAATAGAAGCCACAATATACAAGATCAACATACAAGCCAACATACGCCAAGGCAAGACGCCAGATATCAACTTCAAAGATAGGCACGGCTAGTCCCCTACGGTGTCTCTGGATACAGTCAGGAGAGACGAAAGCGCTATCTCTGATCTCTCCGGGCACAGATTCGAGGAGGAAGAGTACTCTGTTGTCGACTACGAGTCAGACCTTTAGACCGCCATGTCGACAACAGTTAGATAGGCTACCCCAAATATTGTACTGGTGTGATTATGGTGAATAAGATCAATACTGGCTTCGGCCAACAGGATGTAGGGTTATTACCTGACAATTCAGGGGCCCGAACCTGTATAAAAATCCTCGTCCCCATCTCTTTTACCTCAGTCTCGCACATATCCTAGTACCAACGATCCCCATACTATGCAAATACCGGAATCACGACATCAAACGTTGACACATATTACTACTACTTACTAGCTCGATGTGATCCCGTACTAGTTTTGTTTATTTTAAGATAAAGTAATTATATATTAAATTTGTTTATTTTTAGATGAAGGGAGTATGTTGCAAAGAAATGGTTATATTTTGTAACGGATCGGATACATTTTTTTTACACCAACCAGAGCATGAGGAAAGATACTACTCCCTCCGTCCCTTTTTAGTGTAGTTACAGGTTTCTATATCTAACGTTTGATCGTCTGTCTTATTCGAAACATTTGTATGATTAATAATTTTATTGTTATTAGATAAAAAACATAAATAGTATTTTATGTGTGACTTCTTTAAAAAATTCATAGATTTTTTTAAACAAGATAGACGATTAAATGTTGGATACGAAAAACTACAATTGCACTTAAAATGAGACGGAGGGAGTAGTAGCAAAGAAAGAACATATCAACATCAACTTGCGGTCTTCGGTTCGACAAACTTTGGACGACACGAGTGAGGCTGTGTTTAGATCCACGCCAAAATTGGAAGTTTGAAGAAATTGGAATGATGTAATGGAAAAGTTGAAAGTTTGGCTGTGTTTAGTTCACGCCAAAATTGGAAGTTTGGTTGAAATTGGAACGATGTGACGGAAAAAATAGAAGTTTATGTATGTAGGAAAGTTTTGATGTGATGGAAAAGTTGGAAGTTTGAAGAAAAACTTTAAAACTAAATACGACATTTGTGTGTGTAGAAAAGTTCGATGTGACGGAAACGTTGGAAGTTTGAAGTAAAAAGTTGGGATCTAAACATGGCATAATATTATATGGAACGTGCCTAATTAGTACTTTTGTTTTAAAATATAAATATTTTTAAAGTTGACATGGGAATTAAGAAAATATGTAAGAATAACTAGAGAAAGCGCATGATTTGTTAAAAAGAGAAATTAGGTGAAGAAGAATGGTTAGCATTGGTTGAGATGAGGTAGTAGGTGGAGAAATAGATTTATTTTAGGATAATGTATTGTGCTATACATTTTAAAACCAAGCTAGCAATAAGCAATAAGCAGGAAAATATCTTCATGGAAAAAGCTTTGTCGATGCATCCATATCCTATGTCTGCGTGATCTGTTCCCATCCAAGCTCAGTCGTGACTCGTGACAGCTCGACGCGCCAGCCCACGATGCACTGAACCTGAACACCCACGAAGTGACGTGGCACACACGGACCTACTACCACCACCATTATTGGAGATGCCGCGTCCCCACCCACCTCCCCCGGGCCCACCTGTCAGCCAATGGCTGCCGTCTTACTAGGAGAAAGCACACGGTTCGCGAAGCGTACACACACTTCGTGACTTGTTTCCGTGAGCGATCGACAGGAGGACATGGCGGAGGAAGCGGCGGCGGCGTCGTCGGCGGCGGAGGGGAGGATGACGATGGTGGTAGGGGTGGACGAGAGCGAGCACAGCTACTACGCGCTGCAGTGGACGCTGCGCCACTTCTTCGCCGCCGCCGCCGGCCAGCCGCCGCAGTACCGCCTCGTCGTCGTCAACGCCAAGCCCACCGCCGCCTCCGCCGTCGGCCTCGCCGGCCCAGGTACGCGCGGTAAACGAGCGTGTGCTTCGAGTCCGGTACTTTGGATCTGACTTGGATTTGACTCACTGAACTGAACCACCCCTCCGGTAGGCGCCGCGGATGTGCTGCCGTTCGTGGAGGCGGACCTGAAGAAGAGCTCCATGCGCGTCATCGAGAAGGCCAGGGAGCTCTGCGCCCAGGTGATCCGAGATCGAACCGAATCACTCACTTTTTTCTACCTCTAATTTGTTTGTGTGCGCTAGTAGCTGTTAATACTCCCTAATCGTGCTCTATTTTTAATTCTTCAGGAGTACATGTGTAATTTCGTATCCCTCTTATATTAGATAAAGTAATTGTTACTCCATCCGTTTCATATTATAAGTCGCTTTGATGTTTCTAGTCAAACTTTTTTTAGGTTTCACCAAGTTTATAGGAAAATCAGTTTAATTAAATGTAACATTGAATATATTTTCATAATACGTATGTTTTGTGTTGAAATTGTTATTATATTTTTCTACAAACGACTTATAATATGAAATGGGGGAGTAGTAGTTACTAGCAAGTTAAGCTGGCAACCTAGCTTACTATATACAAGACGTCACACTTGCTCTAAATTAAGGAAGCCCTAAAAAAAGCTAGCTAATTGAGATCAGCTCAGCTGGGCTTGGCTGAAGAACAGGGAGATTGCCAGCTGTTGGAATCAAACCATGACTTAACTCATTCATTTGTCTATGTCTTTTGTTTATTTTATTAGTGTGTATTATCATAGTTATGAGTATACATTTTTGATGATTTAGATCATGATACAAATGAGAGTTTGCTGCAGGTGAGTGATGCTCTGTTTGAAGTGCTGGAAGGGGATGCCAGGAATGTTCTTTGTGAGTCTGTTGAGAGGCATCAGGCGGAGATGTTGGTTGTCGGAAGCCATGGCTATGGAGCAATTAAACGGTATTGCCATTTCCTACTTTTGTTCTTCTGACCCCTGTTTCCCACAAAGAATTTCTTCAATTTGTTGAAAACTGCTGCCTCTTCTTCATCTCTGAAAAAAAAAATGTTTCGAAAAAAAGAACTGTGAAAAAAAAAGAGGAGAATCTATAAAATGGTGTCTGACTAGGCATTTGATAGAGTAACACGTGCGCAAGCAGTGGACATTGATTTAAATTAAAAGCTTATCTGTTGCTATAGTAGAAGCTGTACCAGATTATGAGTTGATGAATTTCCATAAACAACATAATGCTCTTCTGATACTTTGGTGTAGCCTCTTTGTATATTCGAATAGAGTACATCATTTTTCTCTCGCTATACATGTTTTATGGCCATCATTCGTCATGAAGTTCACTTGGCGGCTTGGCCCCGTAGCTGTGAATCCTCCTGCTTTTCATGATTTATTACACTTGTCAAAAATAGAACCAGAAAACTGATATTGGTCTTACCGGAAAGAAATAACTTCAAAAGTGGATTAACACGATTTATTATGACCTGGACTAGACTAGATTTTTTTTAGAACAGGCAGATTACAATGCATTGTTGTTTCATTGTATCGACCTACAAATGACCAATCGTGCTGCCTGCAACTTAATTTTGTTTGGTCTTTCATGGAAGACAGTAACAAAAGCTAATCTTATGAACTCATGCAACATTACTGGCTGATGCATCAACTTTACTCCCAATCATCTTTTTCCGTTCCCTACTTCATGTTATTCACCTACATTGGTCTTACTGGCATGCCTGAACTTCCCTGCAGAGCTGTTCTTGGAAGCGTGAGTGACTACTGTTCTCATCATGCGCACTGCACCGTGATGATAGTAAAAAAGCCGAAGCACAAGCACTGAGTCCATGAGCGGCGGCCCCAGCCTGGACTGAACAGTATCATTCATGTATATATCTACCACCAAATTGTGAACGTATCTGTGTGAATAAATTGTCATTGTATTGACACTTCTAGTCAGCTTCAGCATGAAGGCATGTACCATATAGCATGCACTGTATATCCTTCTACCTCTTGGATCCTGGATCGAGAAGGTAAATAATTTATGTTTGATATCTTAAAACAGTGCGTGTTAATATTCATGCGAAAAATATTTCATGTCTATTACACATATGCATCGTCAAGATATTGCAAGTTCTATTGATCTGGAATTGTGATTTTATTAGTGAGAAATATTTCACTTTATCTGTGTATGTGATTCAACAAGTTGTTGACCAGGCACAAACAAGAATATGATTAATCGGTAAAAACGAGTGAATTTTGAATGGCCGGAGAATGGAGGCTACGCGGGAATCGCGCGCGGGAACTACTCCCAGCCGCTGGCTTGATCACAGAGGCAGTTTTAAGTTCATTACATAAATAAATACAGTGTCACCCCTGCTGGTTCCCCCCTCTGTTCATCAATCTACTGTACTGGCCTCCTTCTCAGCTCTCACTATTCTGGCACCTACAATTCCAAGCTTATCACGACGATGGTGAAGGGAGGAAAGCCGGTGATGCTGGTGGGGATCGACGATAGCGACCATAGCTACTACGCGCTCGAGTGGACGCTCAAACACTTCTTCGCCCTGGGCCAGCCGCAACAGTACCACCTCGTCTTGCTCACCTCTAAGCCCCCCGCATCCGCCGTCATCGGCATTGCCGGTCTAGGTAACCTTGGATGTACGCTCTTAGACATTATGAATGTATTGATTATAGAATCGGGGATCGTACTCACGTGAGGACTTGTAATAAATATAGGTACGACGGAGCTGTTGCCGACTTTAGAATTGGATCTGAAGCGCGGTGCCGCCAGAGTAATTGAGAAGGCAAAGGAGATGTGCTCCCAGGTGATATAATAATCCTTCGCTTGTTGAATCCAAACTCAGCAGAAAAAAATATCTCCTATAATCAAGCATTGATCAACCCTCGAAGAATCTCCAATTTTCATCGATTAGGTGATCGATGCGAGCTATGAGGTGTTAGAGGGAGACGCGAGGAACATCCTCTGTGAGGCAGTTGAAAGGCATCATGCAGATATGCTGGTTGTGGGCAGCCATGGCTATGGGGCATGGAAAAGGTAAATTAATCAATTAGAAGTTACTATTTTTATTACCTAAAAATATTAATTTGCAATAAGCAGTTACGGGAAAAACCAAAGTTGATAATTAGTGTGATCATTGAAATGGAATTTGTTGTAAGAATCTGCAGAAATTTTGTAGGATCAGCTGTTACGTTCATCCGTCACTCGATTTATTCTCTTCTGGATTTTGAATTTGCCTGAAATTTGATCAAATCGGTTTGATTTGCAGGGCTGTTCTTGGGAGCGTGAGCGACTACTGCAGCCATCACGCGCACTGCACCGTGATGATCGTGAAGAGGCCCAAGCATAACACGCATAGCTGAAAAACGGAATCACACTCGTCATCAAGAAGATCTAGTGCCATTTCTACATGTTTTCGAGTTCTAATTTTATTTCTAAATTGTGTATTAGTTCGTGTGTGTGTGTGAATAAATCGTGACATAGAGTGACCACCTTATTCTGCAATCTGCATATTGCAATAGAATAATTAATTTAGAAATGCCTGATGAGTTAGCCATTTTAGTACTTGGATTTTCTCAGACGATGTGCAAGATGTCTGAATTACTCCCTCTGTTAAAAAAAAAAATCCTAGGTGAAGATGTGACTCCTCCTTATACAACGAATAAGAGTGGTCACTTCCTCTCCTAAGTTGACTATTTTTAGCACGGAGGGAGTAGTGTATTTCAGAGTCAGGAAGCAATCAATCAGATGCTCAGACAACTCGAGGTTGTCTTTGAGACAAGCGCAGTCGGGAGAAAAGTAGCTGGTTTTCTATACCCATGCTTTTCAAAGTATTAAATGGTATTTTTTCTATATTTTTTTTTATAAAAAAGTTGTTTTTAAAAATTATATTAATTAATTTTTTAAATTTAAAATAATTAATACTCAAATAATCATGCATCAATAGTTTATCTTGTTTCTTCTTAATCTTTTTTTTTCTTTTTGCTCCTCTTAAACACACCCGAAGAATGTCACCTAGAAAAGGAAAAAAGAAAAACAAAGTTAGTATGATCTCAGCCGTCGGTGGGCTAAAGAGGCATCTCCGAATCTCAACCATTGGATCTTCATCACTCTCAGTTCGGAGTTTCTAACACCTCCCTCGGCCCTCCCACTCCCACAACCTCCGCCGCGGCGGCGCAAGCAGGCGACCTTGCCTCCGCCGGCGTCCGGCGACCTCGCCGCCGCCGCCGCCACCACCGCCTCCTACCTTCTACGCATGCCATTACTCCCTCCTGCAATCGTAGCACCGTGAAGCACCATCTGCCCTGGAGATCCGCAGGCTGAGATGCCATCCACTGTGTCGCGCCCCAGGTGTTCGACGGAATGACGCGCCGGGGAGCGGCCTCCCTCGGGAGGACGCTCGCCGGGTTCCTGGCGCATGAAGATCCAGCCAAGGTCCTCTCCCTATTTGCGGACAAGGCCAGGCAGCATGGGGGTCTTGGCCCCCTCGACTTCGCGTGCGCCCTGCGCGCGTGCAGGGGGAATGGCAGGCGTTGGCAGGTCGTTCCGGAGATACACGCGAAGGCTGTCACGCGTGGTCTTGGGAAATACAGGATCGTCGGCAACCTTCTGATTGACCTGTACTCCAAGAACGGGCTTGTTCTGCCTGCGAGGCGGGTGTTTGAGGAGCTTTCTGCCAGGGACAATGTCTCCTGGGTGGCAATGCTGTCAGGGTATGCGCAGAATGGCCTTGGGGAGGAAGCTCTCGGGCTGTATCGCCAGATGCATCGAGCTGGGGTTGTTCCTACACCTTATGTTCTGTCTAGCGTCCTGAGTTCGTGCACTAAAGCGGAGCTCTTTGCGCAAGGACGGTTGATTCATGCCCAAGGTTACAAGCACGGATTCTGCTCTGAAATCTTTGTGGGGAATGCTGTTATCACGCTGTACTTGCGGTGCGGATCATTCAGATTGGCAGAGAGAGTATTTTGCGACATGCCACACCGTGACACAGTAACATTCAATACGTTGATCTCAGGACATGCTCAGTGTGGACATGGGGAGCATGCTTTAGAGATATTTGAGGAGATGCAGTTCTCAGGGTTAAGCCCTGATTGTGTGACCATTTCTAGTCTGCTTGCAGCTTGTGCGTCGCTTGGTGATCTTCAAAAGGGGACGCAACTCCATTCCTATCTGTTTAAAGCAGGCATCTCTTCGGATTACATAATGGAAGGTTCACTCCTTGACCTCTATGTGAAATGTGGTGATGTTGAAACTGCCCTTGTGATCTTCAATTCGAGTGATAGGACTAACGTAGTACTCTGGAACCTGATGCTTGTGGCATTTGGGCAGATCAATGATCTAGCAAAGTCTTTTGAGCTATTCTGTCAAATGCAGGCTGCAGGTATACGCCCTAACCAATTCACGTACCCATGCATTTTAAGGACTTGCACTTGCACTAGAGAAATTGACCTTGGAGAGCAGATCCATTCATTAAGTGTAAAAACTGGCTTCGAGTCTGATATGTATGTTAGTGGTGTATTGATAGATATGTATTCCAAATATGGGTGGCTTGAAAAGGCAAGACGTGTTCTTGAAATGCTTAAAGAGAAAGACGTGGTTTCCTGGACTTCCATGATTGCTGGATATGTGCAACATGAGTGTTGTAAGGACGCTCTTGCAGCTTTTAAAGAGATGCAGAAATGTGGAATTTGGCCAGATAACATAGGACTAGCAAGTGCTATAAGTGGCTGCGCTGGAATCAATGCAATGAGGCAAGGCTTGCAGATTCATGCTCGGATTTATGTGTCTGGTTATTCAGGAGATGTTTCAATTTGGAATGCATTGGTAAACCTTTATGCACGATGCGGAAGAATCAGAGAAGCTTTCTCTTCATTCGAGGAAATTGAACATAAAGATGAGATAACATGGAACGGCCTGGTATCTGGTTTTGCACAAAGTGGCCTACATGAAGAAGCTCTCAAGGTATTTATGCGTATGGATCAATCAGGTGTCAAGCATAATGTGTTCACATTTGTATCAGCTCTTAGTGCTTCAGCTAACCTTGCAGAAATAAAACAAGGAAAACAAATACATGCCAGAGTTATTAAAACAGGTCATTCCTTCGAAACTGAAGTTGGAAATGCTCTGATTTCCTTGTACGGGAAGTGTGGTAGCTTTGAGGATGCCAAGATGGAATTTTCTGAAATGTCTGAGAGAAATGAGGTGTCATGGAATACTATTATCACAAGCTGTTCACAGCATGGACGTGGCTTGGAGGCTTTGGATTTATTTGATCAAATGAAGAAAGAAGGTATTAAACCAAATGATGTTACATTCATAGGTGTTTTAGCTGCTTGCAGTCATGTGGGATTGGTGGAGGAAGGCCTTAGTTACTTCAAATCAATGTCTGATGAGTATGGAATTCGTCCAAGGCCTGATCATTATGCTTGTGTTATCGATATCTTTGGACGAGCTGGGCAACTTGACCGTGCAAAGAAATTTATTGAGGAAATGCCAATTGCTGCTGATGCTATGGTTTGGAGAACCCTTCTCAGCGCCTGTAAAGTACACAAGAACATAGAAGTTGGAGAGTTTGCAGCCAAACATCTATTGGAATTGGAGCCTCATGATTCTGCATCATATGTTCTTCTCTCAAATGCATATGCTGTTACCGAGAAGTGGGCCAATAGGGATCAGGTCAGAAAGATGATGAGAGACAGAGGAGTCAGAAAGGAACCAGGCCGGAGCTGGATTGAAGTAAAGAATGTGGTTCATGCATTCTTTGTTGGTGACAGATTACACCCCTTGGCTGAGCAGATATACAATTTTTTGGCTGTTATAAATGATAGGGTAGCCAAAGTAGGATACAAGCAAGAGAAATATCATCTCTTCCATGATAAAGAGCAAGAAGGGAGAGATCCTACTGATCTTGTGCACAGCGAGAAGTTAGCTGTGACTTTTGGGTTGATGAGTTTGCCTCCCTGTATGCCCCTTCGAGTCATTAAAAATCTTCGTGTATGTAACGATTGCCACACTTGGATGAAATTTACTTCCGACGTCATGGGAAGACAAATTGTATTACGAGATGTCTACAGATTTCACCATTTTAACAATGGAAGCTGTTCATGCGGAGACTTCTGGTGAAGTGCTTTGAAGTGAAAACCTACAATTACCAGCCCCAAGTAACCCATTTATACTCATTACGGTGCCACTTCAAGCAGTTTATGTGGGACATACACCTCTTTCTTTCTAGTGCTACATGCACACATCTAAAACTGGAATTCAGCATGATCAGACAGACAGGCAATATAATGTACAGTTATTCTCCCCTGAGAAACGATCTTTGGATTAAGAATTCCTGTTCTGCTATTTTTCTTTTATCATGTTGGTATTGTCATCTTAAGTATTTTTATCTGAATGTGTATGTATTACATTCTCTCTTCTGACAATTATCTGAATGTATATGTATTACATTCTCTTTTCTGACAACCATCTCGCTTGTTTCAGGTGGAGAAATATACTTCATTGTATGCCAACTTTCTTCATCAGAAGAGAACAAATGGTCAAGTAGGGTCTATTATCAGTCACTGGTAGGCCTAAAAAAATCAATCAAGAGTTCGGTCAGACACTCAGACTCCGTTGATACAATTACATGTTCATGTAAAATCCTAATTGCTGAGATTACCCAACTCTGACGATGGATTTCCCCTAATCTCAACATTGCTTTGGGATTCAATAATTGAGGTCTGACTATGTCCTCCATAGTAGTATCAGTAAATTATTTAACTCATTTGATAATGTATTAGGACTGGCAAATACATGTTGTACTTGTACCTAGAAACCTTATTCCTTGTGTATATTTGTGAAATATGACAAATCACGGCATGTTGTACAGCTTCTATGTTAGCTTCTTTCATGTGCATGCCATGGTGATCATAGGCATATACAACTGAATGAACTGAACCTTGTCTTATGCTTGCTTTACTTCGCAGACAGATTGAGAAAACTGAAAGAAAGGAGCGAGCAGGAGGGATGAAAGGAAAACAATTGGAAACCCCAATTAGTCATCTGAAATCTGGAGCACGTAGAAACATTCTCAAGCCTGCTTCTGCTGCTGCAGCTGTGATGGAGCTGACATGCCCAAACCAAAAAATGGCTTATCAGCAGGTACGTTGATGGTCGTGAGGTGGAAACCTGGTAAGGGCTTATGAATTACTCCCTCCGTTTCAGGTTATAAGACGTTTTGACTTTGATCAAAGTCAAACTCCTTTAACTTTGACCAAGTTTATAGAGAAAAGTAGTGACATTTTTAACCCAAGACAAATTTATTATGAAAATATAATCAATTATTGATTTGATGAAACTAATTTAGTATTATAAATATTATTATATTTGTCTATAAACTTAGTCAAACTTAAAACAGTTTGACTTTGACCAAAGTCAAAACGTCTTATAACCTGAAACAGAGGGAGTATTATGTGGTACATAGATTGTGCTGTGCAGACAATAAGAAACTTGTCCCATATGTAAGACATGCCGAAATTAGTTAGAAGGGAAGAAATTCACAGCCAATGTCAAATGGCTCTTATCAGACCTGTTTATGAGATTTAATGGGCCTAATTAGGACCACATCTATAGTTAAAAATTCTGAAAAAAAGGTATATTTTATATGTTACGCAAGCAGATGTAAATGACCCAGTGGGCCAATACTAAACGAGCAAAGATGATAACCCATTGCCAATGTGATAATGGGCAAAACGTAGGCAAAAGTAGTGGCCCACTCCACTGCCAATGCACAATGAGTGAAAAATTAAGATCACTGCCATCTGCCAATGGCCCAATCGAAAGATAAACCCTCCTGTGGGGATTGTTTTTTCATAGGAGAGTTTAGGATATGGCATGGGGAGTCAACTCTCATACGGACATTCTTAGGTCTCTGGTGACAAACTCCACTGCTTGAGTGCTTGGTTCTAGGTGTTGGATTGTTAATTTATTTATTATTGACGAGAAAACCAAATAGAATATGATTTTAACACTGTACTGAGTCAAACGGCTATAAGGGCCTGTTTGGGAGAGCTTTAGATTCTGAGAAGCAGCTGCTTGGTAGCCAGCTTCTGAGAATCTAGAAAAGCTCTGAAACTCAGTTTCTTCAGCTTCTGGCTTCTTAGTTCATTTTTCAGAATCTGTAACTACAGATTCTTAGAAGCTGTGGACTGTTTGGGGCAGCTTCTAGCAGAAGCAGCTTTTGGGAAAAGCTACAGCTGAGATAAGCTCCTCCAAACAGGGCCTAAGAAGCTTGTGCTAGTTCAATGCTATTGCAAGGCTATGTGCTAGTTTCTCTAGAAAATTATAGAGTGCTTCCATCTTTCACGCACCTAAATTTTCCGTTGTGTCTGTGTCCTTAAGTTCATTTATGATGCTGTAAGAGGAATATGAAGGCGTTTTTTTTTTGGTTTGTTTTCATTGAACAGGGTATTCGATGCCTCCTTGAAAGAGAAGCTGGTGCATATTTTGTGTGCTTTCAGAGGAATAGTCGGGAGTGTAAGCGTAATCGCCGAGGAGTTTTATGTGGATTTTCTGATGGACGGCTTCACGATGCGCGCGGCAGTTATACATTTTCATGTCGTAGAGCTGCTTGTGGGGTTCGGATCGGAGTTCAGGGGCTGGTGTTCGGCATCGTATTGTGCATGCCCACTAGCAGCTTTCTACATGTCCGGGCTGCCTGTACATCGTCGGCAGCGGTGGTCGGTGGAGATGATCCGAGCAAAGCAAACCTGAAGCCTCTGCGCTGGACGTCCTCTACTCCCTAGCTCTGGCCCAGGGTATTCTCTTCTGTTACAAGACCATCTTTTCTCGCGGAGAAGTTGATAGCGAAGCACTTATGTGTATAACTGCCATTACAGATGTCGGCTGCCACGCGATCCGCTGCTGGGCTACCTGGAGGAAGGAAACCAGGGTAAGACGTGAGAAGGAAGGAACCTGATCGTCGAGCTGATGGAGTCGTCTAAGCCACTGGACAGGTACGTGTCCGGGGTAAAGGTTTATGGACGAGCTCATCCATGAGGTTGGACTGCGGGAACATCATAGGTTGATGAAACAAACAGCTGCTGACTGGTGGCGACATCATCCACAAACTTGTGCAGACGCTGAGCCCCAGATCAAGCCCGTATGACAGGGAGATCCATCTGGAGGAGCTGCCACCACGAGGGCTGCAGTGCATAGCTTCCCTTCTTGTCACCTTCCAGGAGTACTCTGGGATGGAGACCTACGAGCGAGACTGGCGACCAGGGTTAAACTTTCGGTTTAGCCGATTTGATCGTACGTCACCGAAATACTAAAATTTTGAACAAAATTTAGTTGAGTTTGAACAAATATTACCAAAGTTCACGAAAAATTTAAAAAACTGAAAAATTGCGGCTGAAATAATATCGTATGAGGGGTCCGAAATTTCCAACCCTGCTGGCGACTCGATCGCCATGGCACACTCGAGGTTGGCCAGGTTGATGATGCGTAAGCAGAGAAAATTATAGATATTCATGTGGATACGTCTTCCTTTTTGGCTTGCGGAAGCAGAGAAAATTTCATGAGGGGCCGAACAAATTTGGTCTGGCACCTGTTGATCATCTTTGGTGACTTAGGTTCTGATGGAAACGACAGCTCCATCAGAGAGTTGACAGGGCAAATGCTGCAGGATATGGTATAATATCTTCCAGGAGGGAAATCTATGCCATGATTATCTTGGATCTAGATCAGAAGTATTCTTACCGCTCCATACTCGTTTATGTGCTTCTTCTTTATGACAAAACCAACGATGATCAACTTCTCAAGCATCTGAAGCGAGAAATTATCCACGGCATGCAACAGGTAATCAAATAATCTTATAATAATCAGTACTAGTATGAGTATCCACTAAGCAAAACAAAATGGCGCTTTCTTTACTAACTTCAGATATGCAAATATGTAATACGGGGTAATATATCCTTTGCTTTTGATTCCCTTAGCTGATATATATAATACCATCAACTTTTCAGGTGCTCGAAGAAACACTTCCTACAAGGAAAGAAATATAAGCAGCAGCAACAGAAGCGAGTAACACCAAGATTTCGTCACCAGATACTGACGTAGAAGCACAACAATCCGGCCGGCCTCAATTCACAAGGCACTGAGCAGCAGAATAACAACTCTGCTTCTTCTAGGTCAGCGAGGCTATGACGAAGCTGCAGGAAGCCTTGGTATCTCTCTGTGAGACAGCACGCGACACTTGGATCAGTGCAGTCGTGCAGAGATCCAGAAATGGGTCGTGAGATGGATGAGGTTGCTGCTATGTTTTGTTCAAAGCAAGGGAAACCTGTCGGGAATTATGCTTCGCTGGTGAAGGAAGCACGGGAGCGTCTGGTGGTGAAGAAGAAAGAACAAGAATCGGCTACCAACGTATCCGCTACCTCTTCTTCGATGGCTACCTGAATGGGCAATGTTGTGAATATAATCTCATGTATATTCTTGAGCACTTTATTTAGGCTGTGTTTAGTTCGTGTGCCAAATCTTTTTTAAGTATACAGAAACATATTTAAAGTATTAAATGTAGACTAATAACAAAACAAATTATAAATTCCGCATATAAACTGCGAGACGAATCTATTAAGCCTAATTAATCTGTCATTAGCAAATATTTACGGTAGCATCACATTGTCAAATCATATCAAATCAACGCCAAAATTAGAAATTTGGTTAAAATTGGAATGATGTGACGGAAAAGTTGGAAATTTGTGTGTGTAGGAAAGTTTTGATGTGATGAAAAAGTTGAAAGTTTGAAGAAAAATTTTGGAACTAAACTTGGCCTAAAATGTTGATATTTCTAGTATATTGTCTTGTCTTAATACTATAATGCTATTTATCCACCTATCTTCTTCTCTCAATCAATCACAACTATTCTTCGTCTAATTTCTTCGCATATTTTCTCTTTTCAACTAATTACAATATTTTAAGTTTGATTAAGTTTATAGCAAAATATAGTAAAAAACATTATATCAAAATATATTCAATATTAAATTTAGTAAAACTAATTTGGTAAAGTAGATTTTGCTATTTTTTTATAAATTTGGTTAAATGTAAAGAACTTTAAATAAGAAAAAAATCAAGCAGCTTGTAATATTAAGAGATTTGTTTTGGTCCAACAAAAAGTATCTCGAGGTACCGCTAACTCATGGTATCAAATCATTTCCGATCGTTGGATCTAAAAATGCTCATCGGAAACGATTCGGTACTGGTACCTCGAGATATTTTTTGTTGGACCGGAGCAAATCTATAATATAAAACGGAGCTGGTATTATTTATTTACCTTATTTAAACTTTTTAACAGCATATACCGAATTTTTCAACCGAAAAAACATTTTGAGATGATCGACCGGAAATTCGGAATGGCCCCCGCCCGGAAATACAATAGACGTGGAGCAATGGGACATGATGGGATTTCATGACTACTCCTAAAACCCAGTCACACCAGCCTGCACAGTGTTCCGCCGCTTGATCCTCGCCGTCCTCTCCTCGGAGAGATTCCCGGCGATCCGAGCAAGCGCGTCGGCGTTGCTCCCCTCGCCGGGCACCTCCTCGTACCTCCCGGTCTCCACGTTCACCCTCGACACCCGCTGCGCCAGCAACCGCTCGCCGACGCCGACGAGGCTCCCCATGTTCTCCGGCGTCGCCGCGTCCACCGCCGCCGCCGCACCGCGCAGCGAGTTGGCCTGCACGCGGAGGTAGTTCCGCTCGCTGTGGAGCAGCTGGAACTTGACGGCGACGTGGATGTCGACGAGGTCGGAACTCGCCGCCATGAAGATGTCGATGATGGGGGCCATCCCGCCGTGGCGCAGCCACGAGAGCGCCCCCCACCGGGAGCACTTCTCCGCCGTGTAGAGGCCCTCGTCGGAGGTCAGGCCGGTGCCGATGGACAGCACCAGGAACCGGCCGTGCTCCTCCTCCTCCTCCGGCGGCGGCTTCAGCAGGTACAGCGCCGCCGCCTTCTCCTTCGCCATGATCTCCTCCGTGATCATTGTCATGGCCACCATCGTCTGCAGCACAATTTCACCAATTAAAACCATACAAGCATCTGGTTGGATGTGAACTGTAAATCTGGTGGAGTCGAACTGTTTTTGTACAGGGTTGTTGGCGGCGACACCGCCGTCGATGAGGTTGTACTCGCGCGTTTCGCCGCTGGCGCCGTCGTGTGTCCGGAAGCAGTGCGCGGGGAGGTACGTCGGCGCCGACGACGTGCCGATGCATACGTCGGAGAGCAGCGCGTTCTTCAGAGGCGAGTTCTTCGCCTGCAGACACCAAGAAACGACGTTTATCCGGAAGTGGATTTTTGTCCCTAGGTGACATCCTCTTTTTTTCATTTCTTTCAAAAAGTTATAAAAAATTTAAAACAAATTGTCAAGATAAATTAATATATAATATAACTTTTCGTAAACATGTGAGTAAAATTCGATTTGTTCTATTCGAAAATTTATGGTCAAATTTGTCATTTTTATTTCTACTTATATAAGTTAAATTTAAATTTTTCATGTTTGTGAAATGACATATCACGTATTAATCTATCCTACAATTTTTTTTAAAAAGAATTTCTGATGACTTTTTAAATTACATGTACAAATGAGACGATATCCATGAATTATGTTTTCCCGTTTATCCAACTGTTCGATGAGACTACGAGAGCCTCAAGCTTTTCCAATGGCTAACGCCGCGTGTACAGGTACCTCGTATGTGGAGAAGATGACGGGCTGGAGCAGGCGGACGTCGAAGGTGGGGACGACGACATTGGTGAGCGTGTCGCCCACCGTCGTCTCGCCGAGCATCCTCCGGACCACGCCACGGAGATACCGGCCATCATACTTGGGCCCCCGCGCGGCGGCGATCTTGGCGGCGAGCGTGCTCCACCGCTGCGGGAAGATGCGTGGGCCGTGCTCGAGGTAGAACGGGGTAATGTCCGCGGCGGCGAACATCGGCCGCCGCCGCCGCCGCCCGTCCCTGTCCGCCCCTTCGCCGGGCGCGGCCAGCATCGCGGTGATGAGCCCGCCGGTGATGAGCCAGCATCGAAGTAGTCGGCGAGCCTCGCGCCCGGGCCATCCAGCCGCTGGAGCTCGCCCTCCAGGAACGCGAGCACCGTGCCCGGGATGACGCCTCGGATGCCGCCGCCGTCGATGGTCAGCACGGTCACCCTCTCGCCGACGACGCCGCACGCAGCTGCGCCGGCGCCGCAGGCACTGTAGAGACGCCGGCAACGAGGGAGGAGACGAGCAGAGGTGAAGGAAAGCATCATTTGTAGGAGATGGATCCGACTGATAAGTGTGTGTTGAGTTAAATAAGTGAGGAGATGGACTGAACTTTATTCAGGTGTGTTTAGATCATATGATAAAGTTTTGGCGTGTCACGTCGGCTATTATAAAAGGTAACGCATGTGGTACTAATAAAAAAGTAATTATAGAATCCATCAGTAAACCGCGAGACGAATTTATTAAACCTAATTAATCTATCATTAGCAAATATTTACTGCAGCACCATATTATCAAATCATGGAGTAATTAGACTTAAAAGATTCGCATCGCAAATTAGTCACAATCTATGCAATTAGTTATTTTTTTAGCCCATATTTAATACTTCATGCAGGTGTTCAAACATCTGATGTGACAGGGTGAAAAATTTTGGAGTGGAATTTAAACAGGGTCAGTTCACAGTCGTCTTAGGCCCGGTTAGATGGCAAAAATTTTTATTTTGGGTGTCACATCGAATATACGGACACACATTTGAAGTATTAAGTGTTGCCTAATAACAAAATAAATTACAGATTCCGCCAGGAAACCACAAGACGAATTTATTAAGCGTAATTAATTTGTCATTAGCAAATGTTTACTGTAGCACCACATTGTCAAATCATAACGCAATTAGGTTTAAAAGATTCGTCTCGCAATTTACACGTAAACTGTATAATTGGTTTTTTCGTCCATATTTAAAACTTTATATATGTATCAAACATTCGATTTCGATATGATGGGTAAAAAATCTTTGTTTTGGGAACTAACAGGGCCTAAGGCGAGCAATGCCAAAGCTTGACTGACCGAACTGATGATGAGTTTGTCATTAATAACTCATCATAAGTGCTTATATGTACTAGTAGTCCTTGAATCAATAGCACGGTAGCTAGGATTTGACTAGCAAACATTAAATTTGACTGACCTTATCCTGTGCTTTTAAAACTTACTTTTAGTTTAAATTTTAAAATCACACACTTAAAAAACCTGAAACAATCTACTCCCTCTGTCCCCTAATATAAGGGATTTTAACATTTTACTTGTACTGTTTGACCACTCGTCTTATTCAATAAATTTGTGCAAATATTAAAAATAAAAAGTTATGTTTAAAGTACTTTGGATAATAAAGTAAGTCACAAATAAAATAAATAATAATTTTAAAATTTTTTAAATAAGACGAACGGTCAAACAGTGCAAGCAATATGTCAAAATTCCTTATACTCCCTCCGTTTTGAAATGTTTGACACCGTTGACTTTTTAGCACATGTTTGACCGTTTGTCTTATTTAAAAAATTTAAGTAATTATTAATTCTTTTCCTATCATTTTATTCATTGTTAAATATATTTCTATGTAGGCATATAATTTTTCATATTTCACAAAAGTGTTTTTGAATAAGACGAACGGTCAAATATGTGCTAAAAAGTCAACGGTGTCAAATATTTTAAAACGGAGGGAGTATTAAGGAACGGACGTAGTATGTTTTTCCATTGACAAAGAATCGATTCTAAGTTGCCATTGACAAATGGGAACCGGAACCTCTGAGTCACAGGCGTGCAGTCGGGTCAAATCGATCCACCGTCCATTGCATCCAATGGTCCTGCCTTCCGCTACCGGGTCATCCCAATAGCACCGGTAGGAAGCAAACGGGTCATCAGTTCCGACGAGGGCGGCAGCGGGCAGCGGCATGTGATCTGTTCGCTCTCTCCTCCCATGCATGTTGGCCTATCGTGCTCGTTTTCTTTTCTGCCTCACATCTGCGCACCTTCTCCTTCTACACATCCACACACACACACACACGTACAGCGTGAGACATCAATTCCATCCTCGTCTTCCACTTGACCGTGGTCTATTGGTTTAGCAGTTTGGTAGTTCTCGCCATTTTCTTGTATTGGTGCTGTGTTTGGTTCTTTGGCCAAATTTTTTTTATAATATACGGACACATATTTACATATTTGAAGTATTATGTGTAGTTTAATGTTAAGAATAACACTAGCCATTCGCAAATCCTTCATCTGAAAGCATTTGGACAGAAAGTCCTTGACCTCCTCAACCACATTAAGGCTGGTCCTAGAGATCAATATGTCATCGTCATATAAACACAAGATCACTGTCTCTCCCCAACCGTATCAGTAGTATACACATTTGTTAGCCTCGTTCAAAACAAAGCCAACAAATATCAGAGTTTTGTTAAACTTCTCATGCCACTGCTTAGGCGCTTCTCTGTAGCCATGAAAAGACTTCAGCAGCTTGCACATCAATCCCTCTTGACCTTTTAATACATACCCGATCTGGTTGATCCATATAGATCTTCTCCTCCAACACTCCACTATGGAAAGTTATCTTAACGTCCATCCGGTGAACGAGAAGACCATGAGAGGCTCCCAGAGCAAGTAGTATTCGAATTGTGGTCAAGCGAGCAACTGGTGAATAAGTGTAAAAAAAATCCTCGCCTTCCTTTTGGGTATAACCCTTAGCCACAAGTCTTGCCTTGTAATTTTTAATTATACCATTAGGCCTAAGCTTTTTCTTGAAAACCAACTTGCATCCTACATGATTGCACCCATATAGACACTCGACGACTTCCCAAGTACCATTAGACATAATAGAGTCCATCTCATCGCACACAGCTTCCTTCCAATAGTTAGCGTCAGGAGATGAATATGCCTCTTCTATTGTTCTTGGAGTGTCATCCACAAGGTATACAATATAGTCATCACCAAAAGACTTTGTAGTCCTTTGTCTGTTACTCTTTCGAGTAGCTACAATATTGTCCTCCTCAGGATTTTCCTCAGGCGTTCGATTCATTGTGTTCTATCAGCACAAAAGACTAGGGGATAAATAGGCTCTTGACTAGAAGTGCTATGTGTATCTTTCATAGGAAATTCATTCTCAAAAAATGTAACTTCTCTATACTGTGTTATTGTACCAACACGCATGTCAGATACTCCAAAATTTACTCTTAGGAGTTTATATCTCACATTGTGGATGGCATAACCAAGGAACACACAATCTATAGTCTTTGGTCCAAGTTTGCACTTTTTAACTATAGACACACTAATCTTAGCCAAACATCTCCATATGCGCAAGTATGAGAGATTTAACTTCTTCTTTTTCCGTTTCTCGAATGGTGTTACTTGTTTATTTTTAGTAGGAATTCTATTCAGGACATGACAAACAGTCAATATTGCCTCACCCCACCATTCCGTTGAAAGTTCTACAGTGTCTAACATGGCATTCACAAACACATTTAGAGTGTGGTTCTTTCTTTTGGCTACCCCGTTTGACTAGGGTGAATAGGTATGCGTCCTCTCATGAATAAATCCAGACTCTTCGCAGGATGAAATAAACTCATTAGGAAAATACTCTTCGCCTCGTTTAGACCTCGACCATTTGATTTTCCTTTCAAGTAGGTTTTCTACCTCAACCTTATAGATCTTAAAGTACTGCAATGCTTTATTCTTTGTTTTCATGAAATACACATAGCAAAATCTAGTGCAATCCTCTATAAGTGTCATGAAATATTTTTTCCCTCTTTAGTCAACACACTGTTCATTTTGCATAGATCGGAATAAACAAGTTCTAGAGGTGTCAAATTTCTGACCTCTGATGCCTTATGAGGCTTGCGAGGTTGTTTCGCTTGAACACAAGTATGACACTTAGAACTTTTGACCAAAGTGAATTTCAAGATTAAACTCATGTTAGCTAAGCGTCGTACAACCAAAATTCATATGACAAAGTCGCGAATGCCACTCATTAGACTCATCATCATTACTTACATGATTCACATCTTTATTACACATATCATCTAAGTAAAAGTGGAGCAAGCCTCCGCTGTCATAACCTTTACCAATATTTAGATACAACACATTTGTTAAATTCAAACATAAGTCTAAAATCATCTCTACACAATAAAGAGCCGCTAACAAGATTCTTTTTTTATTGAGGTGACATGTTGCACGGTCTTTCCTGAAGTAAACTTCAGATTGACCGTACCAACACCATGAGCAGCTACAAGCAAACCGTTCCCCCTCAGCAAGGAGGAACCTCTGCCGACCTGATAAGAAGAAAATAGGAAAATGTTCGCACACACATGAATATTTGCACCAGTATGAACCCACCAATCTGGTGAGTGAGAACAAAGAGAACTGTAGGTAAAAAGTCACCGTACCCTGATGTTCCTCCTCCATCGCTAATAACCATATTTGCAGACTTTTTTGTCCTTGTGATCAGGACAATTCTTGACCCAATGCACAGGCTTACCGCACACAAAGCAGTTGCCCTTTGCTTTTTCCTTGTCTTTTTTCTTAAAATTGGTTGTAGCCTTGGGTTTGACCTTCTTCTTATTGTTGTGAGATGCACAAGGGTTCTTCTTCTACACCAAATAGGCGCTAGAACCTCACTCGACCTTTTTGCTGCGGTTGTCCTTTGCCCTCATCTTCTCCTCAAAACCCAAAGAGCCAATGAGTTCACTAACACCGAACTCTTACCTCTTGTGTTTTAGAGAAATGGCAAAGTCCAACCAAGAAGGTGGCAATTTGGCAAAAATGCCACCGCCACGAACTTGTCTGACAACTCGCAGCTGTTGTTCTCAAGTTTCTTTACCGGCAACTGAATCTCATGAGCTTATTCTATTATAGATCAGTCATCGACCATCTTGTAGTCATAGAACTGCTCCATGACATACAATTCACTGCCAGCATCGGAGACTCGAACTTGGCCTCAAATGCATCCCACGTGTCCTTTCTAGAAGGCATGTGCATGTACATATCCACTATGTTGTCAGTTTGTATATTGATCAATGCTCCACGGAACAGGCAATGCGCAGCCTCAAACTTAGGCTTCTCCTTAAGTGAGAGAGGTCGTTCAGACGTCTTGCTCCGTGAAATAAAGAAATATTGCATAGCTGTTAACCACGGTAGTGCACGTGCTTTCCATATTTTATTGTTTGAACCATCGAAAGCATGTGGTTTTAGTGATGTCGCAATGACTAACATGCAAATAACTAACATGCAGGAGCTACTGATAAATGATTTCCTACGAGATAACATGCTACTAAAGGTGGCTGACTCAAAGCCATGGTATACCATCCTTTAGTATTTCCCTTTGAATAAAATCTTTAATTACATAAGAAAGGATTTGAATGAGTACACGATATCATATACAATTTGTTAGGGTGCCTCAAAAAACTCCCAAAACAGTTCAGTATACAGAGGTGCCTATAGGAAGCCAAGATCGTCAGGTTTCCATGGCACATGTTCAGTTTTATGTTAACTCTTAACAAGAACACAAGAAATTATCGATATGATCAACGAGATCGCATCGCCCTAGATAGATTGATCTCAAAGATGTTCTCAGAGTTCAAGCAACAAGGTATTTAACTACTAGACTTCTCTTCTATCTCTCTGGCAAGCCAGCTCGAAGCTAGCTGTTATAGTTACATGACCCAATATGGCCCAAGATAATTGAAGTTGGCGGCTTGTTTGCGTTTAGCTTTAGCGACCACCTTCTCGCTCTCTGTGTTATGTTCATTATCCGGCAAATGCGCCTTCAGGTTCTTCAGGTTGCTGACAATCCCCTCCCCTTATAACTTGACTTGTCCCCAAGTCAGCGCCTTAGGAAAAAGTATCTGCAGGTCTGCTTCATCCTCCCAAGTGGCTTCACCTGCAGATTAACCAGACCAATGCACCAATAACTGAGTAATAACACGATTACCCTTAGTGACCACTCTAGTATCTAAGATATGCTTAGGAATTTGGTGGCTCCAACAGTCTGAAGGAAGGTGTTGCTGAACTTGGTGCTTGAAGTCTTTGCAGGTGCTCTTCAACTGAGATACATCGAATGTGGGGTGAATTAAACTGTCACCTGGCAACTGCAATGTGTAAGCCACCTTACCAATTCGAGCCAGAATTTGGTAAGGACGAAAATGCTTGAAGGATAGCTTATGGTTGGCTCTTTTGGCCACTAAAATTTGCACATACGGCTGCAGTTTTAAGAAAACCCAATCACCCACTTGAAATCCCCTAAAACTTCTCTTCTTATCAGCCAGAGCCCTCTTCGAGTGTCGTTGGATCAGCTAGGACGTGAGCTTTCTGTTATAGAGCCATTCATTCAGATCAGGAATGGAACAAGCTTCATCTCTAATTCCAAAATGGGAAGGGGGATAACCATAGAGCACTTCAAGGGGGTCTTGTCAATTGAAGAATGATAAGAGGAATTGTACCAAAATTCAGCAAATGAAGCCAAGCAACCCATTTATTGGGGGAAGCATGAACAAAGCATCGAAGGTATATCTCCAAGCATTGATTAACCCTCTCTGTTTGCACATCGGTTTGGGGGTGAGAAGCTGAACTTAAATGTAATTTGGTACCTACGTTGGCAAATAGTTGCTCCCATAACAAACTGGTGATGATTTTGTCCCTGTCAGAGATAATGACTTGAGGTAATCCATGCAGTTTGTACACATTGACCATGAATAATCTAGCCACATCTATAGCGGAGAATGGGTGAGCTTGTTGGAGGCATGCCACGAGGGCCTTCGATCGAGGCTGCCGAAACCACTGCGACCAGGGCGAAGCAACCAAGCGAGGACCAAAACATTCACTTTGGGTGAAACGTCCGGGCGAAGCATGAAAGATTCGCGACCGCTTGGAGCACCTTCGCCATGGAACCAAAGGGCTACATGGGCTCAAAGGCCATTCGCCAAGGGCGGCCCAAGCTAAGGCCCATTTAGGGGCTCAGAGCAAAATAGACTCTAGTTACCCTTGTAGATGTCCCTATCATGAGGGTATCCACGTAATTTCCCTGTACCTATTAACCCTACGCTGCATAAGCTTGTACTAAGATTATAAATAGACCCCAAGGGGCATGTAAGGCTGGGGGATCCCAAGAAAATTTAATATTAATATATATGTTTTTTACTTTTCCACCGTGAGTGAACCACATCGTTCAATACTCGCAGTTGTCATTCGACAACAGCTAAAGGGATGAAATGAGCATATTTAGAAAACTTATCCACTACCAACAAAATACAATTCTGCCTTTCAGGCCATGGTAGTCCTTCTATGAAGTCGATTGAGATGACTTGCTAGGCCCTTGTGGCACAGATTGCTTGTAGCAGCCCTAGGTACTTAGCTTGATCTGGATTAGCCTGTAACACACACCACAAGCTACCAATTGTTTCTTAATCATTGTTTTCATTTTTGGCCAAGCAAACAAAGCCTTAATCCTTTGCTAGGTAATAGGAAAACCAGAGTGTCCCCCCACTGGGCTATCATGCAAGGCAGTGATAATTTGTTTCCGAAGAGAGGAATTATTACCAATCCAAACCCTTCCTTTGTACTTCATCAATCCTTGATGCAGAGAAAAGTCAATTCTAGCTTGAGGGTGAACAACCAATTCTGTCAATAGTTGAGCAGGGAATGGATTACTGGCATAACCTTTGACAATGTCCTGCAACCACAAAGGAGAGCAAGTAGAGATAGCCAAGAATTCAGAAAGTTCTTCATGCACATTCCTAGAAAGGGCATCAACAACTGCATTGTTCTTTCCCTTTCTGTAACATATTCCCTCCATCCAAAAAACACTAACCTCGTACTAGGATGTGACATATGCCAGCACTACAAATCTGGACATACTCTATATCTATATTCGTTGTATGAGGTTGGGTTTTTTTTTTTTGGGGGGGGGGACGGAGGGAGTATTTTGTATTGTAGCCCAAGTAATTTGGTGAAAGCTTTGCGTTGCTACGGTGTATTCAGTCTTTGTTCAGTAAGATACATTAAACTATTGTGATCAGTAAGGATGGTGAACTCTCTATACTTAAGATAGGGCCTCCAATGATCTACTGCCATCATGATAACCAAGCATTCCTTTTCATAAGTGGGTAGACCATGAGTTCTTGGACCTATGGCCTTATTGATATAAGCTACTGGATGACCCTCTTGAGATAGCACTGCACCTATTTCCAATTCACTGACATCAGTCTCAAGGGTAAAAGGTTTATGAAAATTAGGTAAAGCTAGAACAGGCGCTATAACCAGATATTATTGAATGCTCTTGATGCTTCTGTCAACCAAACAAAGGGAACATTCTTCCTCAATATCTAAGTTAAAGGCTTACTGATGGTACCAAAATCCTTAACATATTTTCTATAGAGTAAATATCAAAAAATACAGTTACTTTGATCAAATTATCATAAAACTACAGATTTAAAGCGTTGTAGAACAAAAATACAGATTTAACACAAGATTTATCACATAACTACATATTTAAGGCCAACTATCACAAAACTATAGATTTAATACTAGAGTTATCATAAAACTACGTATTTTACAGCTTAAATACCTACCACTACTGCTATATTAGAGTGATAAATGTTGTAGTTTTGTACTTAACATGATGCAAAATATGTACTATTGTGATAATTTTATTACTAAATTTGTAATTTGGTGATCTTCCACCTTAAATCTGTAGTTCTTAGATAAATTTGGTCCTAAATCTGTAGGTTTGTGATACACACTTAAATCTATAGTTTTGTGATAGTTTTGTAAAAGTACATATAGTTTTATGAAATTTACTCTTTTCTATAATAACCAGCTAATTCTAGGAAACCCCTCAGCTTCTTGATATTAATTGGTACAACCCAATCCAATACACTGTATTTTGGAAGGATCTGTTGAGACCCCAGCTCCACTGATTATGTGGGACATATAAGATATCTCAGTTCTAGCAAATGAACAATTACTGAGTTTGACCTTCCACTGGTGATCAGCCAATAACTATAGCACTTCCTTGAGATGAGTAAGATGTGATTCCATTTCTTGGTTGTAAATGAGAATGTCATCAAAAAACACTAAGGCAAATTTTTTTTGAGTACTGGAGCCAGAGTTGCTTTCATGGCACTTTGGAAAGTAGCCGGTGCTTCTGTTAGGCCAAAGGACATAACCTTCATAGTGTCCAATATGTGTTTGAAATGCTGTCTTATATTCTTCTCCCTTTGCCATTCTAATATGATGATACCCAGCTCTCAAGTTCAGCTTGGAAAAAAATCTTTGCAGTAGATAATTCATCGAGTAATTCATCAATTACTGGCATAGGGTAAGTTTCCTTTTGTATGATTGCATTCAGCTGTCTATAATCAATACAAACTCTCCAGGTTCCATCATTCTTCTTACGAATAGAGTTGGGAAAGAAAAAGCACAGCGCTAGGTTGAATAACTCCATTATGTAGCATCTTCTTAGCTTGTCTTTCTATTTCATCTTTTGGCCAGGGTTGTGCCTATATGGTCTAAGAAATACTGGCTTGGATCCTGGTAAAAGTGAGATGTGATGATCACAAAGCCTTTTTGGTGGTAACCCTTGTGGTTCCTAAAAAACTTCATGAAAAGAATCTCAAAGATGTTCTCTCGCAAGCTAGTTCGAAGCCAGCTGTTACATACGGTTACACGGCCCAATCTAGATATTTGAAGTTGGCGGCCCGTTTGCGTTTAGCTTCAGTGACCATCTTCCCGCCCTTAGTGTTATGTTCATTATCCGACAACTGCGCGCCTTACATGTTCTTCAGGCTGCTGACATTTTACAATAAGGATGCAAGTTACCATAATACAGGCTGAATGGTTATGATTTTATCAATAATAAATCGGGTTTCCGTTAACAGAGTTAGACCTCTCCCGTTTCTGGAGCTCTCTCTCTCTCTGCATGAGTTCCTCCTTTGCTTCTTTCACAATGAAATCAAGAGTCTTTGTGCCGTCTCTGTTATTACGAGATATAAGCATGAAGTTCTCAAGATCAGACATTTCAACTGCAGCCTCGGACAGCGATTCCATCAAGCTGTCAGTCTCTTCTTTGGTGTAACCGCTTCCATGTCGAACCATTAGCATGAATATCTCGGTGATAAGCTTCAATGTTTTCAGGCAGCTGATAGAGGGATAACTGTTCCTTATGACTATGTGCTTAAGCCTCCTAGGAAAGCTGAATCCAGCACTTGTAATCCCCCTCCAAGGAAAACTGAATCCGGCACTTGTAATCTCATCATCGAACAGGCGAGCGAAATCTTCTGCATTAGTGAAATTGCGTAACATCGTCGCACAAAGAGATAAAACTGTTGCCAGTAAATTGCTGCTCGGATATCCCTCACCAAGTGCTATCGAAAGCACCTGCAACAAATAAAATTAATTTTGTTTCTCATTAGTATATATGACTATTATCTAAACAAATCAGTATGGCAATTGACAAGTGTAATGATTCAAGCGAGGACTATATTATTTATCTATTCCGTTATTTATTTACATTACTTACCGTTGGCATCGCAATCTTTAAGGCTTTCTTGAGGCACTGGAGATATTCATCATCATCAGTGAGATGAATACACAGCTGCTCCAGGATCTGTGCTGCTCTTATTTTGAATTTGTTCCTTTCATTTGGGTTTGCAAGCATTTTAGTGAGATCATCAATCACCTCCTCTTTCACTTGCAAGATTATCTTGGCATTTTCTTTGCCATGGCCATGGGAAGACAGCGCTGCAAGCTTTTCACCTGCCAATCCTCTGATGTCGTCTTTGACGTAGAATTGAGTGAAGGTGTGTACAAGTATGTTGATCAAACTTCTCCAGCTTTCTTTGTTGGAAAGCGTGCGCTCGTGCAGCCGCGTGTAAATCTCCAGTGATTGCAGCAGCAAGTCGCTGCACTCCTTGCACTTGAGGATTCTCTCCATGCTAGCCATCGCCTCCATGTCGCCTGAGATCCTGCGACGGACCTCTTCGCCAGTCTTGCCAGGAGCAGTGACGAGCCGGCGCATCACTTCCATGGACGCGTACACCGTGTCAGACCATGTATCATTATGGCCGTTGAGGTGGAGCAGGCCGGATCGCAGGGGCTCCATGATCTTGGTGAGCAGGCCCTCCGTGTCGACGATGGCTTGACGGCAGTTGGCGTCTGCAGCGAGCTTCCCAAGGATGAGGAGACCCTGCCGCATCAGCTCTTTGTTGTAATCCAGAAGGACGCGGTAGTAGATATTGTCATCGTCGTCCTCCTCCTCCTCCTCCACAGGGCCATCGAGAAGTGAGGCTATGAATTGGATCCCTCCAGGGAACTGCTCGAGGTGGAGGTTGCCGGCGAGGTGCGCCACGATCCTCGCGGCGAGCTCCCTCGCCTCGGCGTTCTTTGGTCTCGCATTGCAGTCCATCGTCTGCAGCAACTTGTCAAGCACCTGGCTGGACGACGCCGAGATGACAAGCAGCTTGATCATCCTGTGCTGCTCCGACAGCTCGGGTTGGTCCAGGAGGGTGGCCAGGATCCTGGCCCCGGAGAGGAAGTCGTTTGGGGATTCAGACCTAGTTAGCTCCACGGCGTAGGTCACTAGGTTCCGTCCTTCCACGAACGACGGGTCCTTCTCGCACCCGGTCCTCGTCTCGTGAAGGTACTCCACCAACGCTCTCGAGCTCCCAAAAGAGTCGAAATTGTACTTGGTGAGCACATCAACCACAAGCTCTCTCCCCACGGAGCGGGAGGCGAACCGGTAGCAGAACAGCACGCCTTGCAGCACGGCGATGGAGTAGACGACGTTCAGCGCGGGACGCAGGTTCGCACCTCCATCAGCCTCGCCATAGTCGCGCTGTATCAGGCGCCACACCGAGAGGCCGGTGGTGATGAGCAGCCCAAATATGTAGAACGCCGCCAGAGGGCACAGGATGATGCCAAACACCAGCACATGAACCACCCATACGAATACTAATACCAACTCGTTCAGGATGTAGTCACAGAGCAAGATCGGCATACATAATGAAACCGCAACACCAACATCCTTGCTCTTCCTGAGCAATGTATGCAGTGTGGCCGTGAAGAAGCCTGAAAACGACCTCCTAATATATTGTAGTTTTTCGTTCAGAAGGACATCGGAAACTCTGTAGGGGGGAATTTATACCGTTAAAATCTATTAACTTAATAGAAAAATAAGCATCCACGTTCACTCTCATGGCCTAAAAATTCTCATATTAATCGAAGAAAAAGAAAAAAACAAAATCCATATAGAAATATAATTTTAAAATAGGTGAAATTCAGAATTAAAAATAAGAAATATATGAAGAGAAGACTAGAGTCCAGACCGGTATACAATAGAGAAAATGGAAATTCAGAATTAAAAAGTAAGAAAATTAAAAGTATACATTAGAGTCCATATAGATATACAATTTAGAAATAATAAAAATTTGAAACTAGGAAAATAAGGAATATTACAAGAAGAATAAAGTCCATATAGAAAGGAATAGAAAAAAAAGCCTACACTTTAATCAGAGAAAAAGAAAAAAACAGAGTCCATATAGAAATGCAATTTAAAATAGGTGACTCCTTCGTTCACACCCTATTGTCCATTGGGTCTAACAATGAACGTGTATAGATGGTAAAACAGAGTCCTGTAGGCATCATGGTCTAACAAGTCCTTCACACCCTATTGCCCATTGGGTCAAAGATATTGAATAGCCAGGCTTTGAAGTCAAATATAGGATGGTAAAAACACTTTCCCACTCAAAATCTATTATCTAACTAATAATGAGATGAGGGACTCTCCCATTTTTTAATCTTGTCTCTTGGACTGTCACAAACTATGAATTTAAAAATTATTTGTTTATATATTACAGTTAGATCGATATAAAGTTTTAAGATTTTTCCACAAAATTATTCAAGATGATATTTGCTTTACACTTTGGTAGGAAATCAAGGTCTTGTAAAAAAAAAGAAACAAGTTTTCCAGTAGGATAAAATTCATCCTCCCATAATCCATAAAGGAATATAGAGAGGAAATGATTCACAAGTGATAGTGTCTCTCCCGGTCGTACACAAATTAAATATGGTTAAAGCTGTTGAGATTTGCTTGATCTGGATTTAACTCCGGATGTGTCACTAATACGTGTGTGTAATATGTTGGGCTAAATTCCCTTCGCATGGAGCATTGCTCTCAGCCCATGTGCAGTCCAATAAATCCAAAGAATCTGAGACGTTGATTCATTTCTTGAATGGATGGTGAAGATTGCCTCATCTCTTTAATTTGTGGATGAGAAGAAAACCCTAACCTCCCTTGTGAGAGAGATTGTGCAGCCAAATGTGAGACCACAAGGCAAGCAAGAACACAAGAGAGGAGAGGAGAGTGGAGAAAAAGGTGTGCAGATTTTCAGTTTGGTGACTCTAACCCGGTCTTCATCAAGTCAGCGATTGGAAGGTCAAACGTGCTTGGATCAATACCAAACTTGGTGAGTTTATTTCTCACTTGGTGAACTTCAATCTGGCCAGTTTTGGTGGGAATTGGTTGAGTAGAGCATCAGATTTGGGTATGGTTTCTTCAGCTCGAGTAACCGCAGTTTCAGCGTGTACAGTCTGTGGTAGAATGTCAGTTTGAGGGGTCAAACGGTGTCTGATTGGGCTGGTTTTTGGATAGCTTGGAAGGGACTTATAGACCATCATTTCTGCCAAGTTTCGTGCAATTTGTATGATTTGGGAGATCTCAGCTAAGAACCGAAGTGGACAGAATCTGTCATTTCTCTGCTTGTTGTTGTTATACCTCTTGTTAGTTGCTATGGTTGTTGTTGTGATGTGCCTCTAGATGTTCTAGAGAAGACTCCATTTGTACCCATTGTTGATTATAGTGGAAGTTTGGAGTGGACCGTTGGTCCCGTGGTTTTTTACTCCTCACACCGAGGAGGTTTTTCTACATAAAACACCGTGTCTTGTGTGCATGTGTTTATTGTTATTCCGCTGCTGATTTGCTAGTTGAAACTATCCTCAAAGTTCATAGCAGGATGAGGGGTTGATTGTGTGAAATATGTTTGCTGGTTGGTAAATTGTAGTTCGCACATTGAAAATAATTTGGTTCAGCCCCAACATAATATGCCCACAGAACTTTCACATAGGATGTTACTACATGCTGGAGTTGCTAGTAAGTGAAGATACACAAAATAGAACTAGTATTAGCAGGAAATAGCTTCAAAACACACTTAACAAGAAAACTTATTTGTGAGGTAAAAGTTAAGAATATATAGCAAGAAATTAAGCAATAGAGGTGCGAAAATTGAATTGTGAAGAGACTAACCCAGCAGTTTGGACAAGTGTAATTATTGTGAGACACCAAAAATCTTTCTTCCCAAGCACGGAGACGAAACCACCGAGAAGAATAACGGTGGTCCATAAAACCACAAGATAACCCAGTCCCTTGACGGCCATAGACATGTATCCCATAAACAGGGCATAGTTGTTGATGGATTTAACTTCCGCCCACTTTGAGGTATCAATGGGCTCCCTGGGTCTAGCCATTCTTCCCTTTTAGAAGTGTAGTGTTTAGAAGTGTAGTGTAGATCACTTCGACTATAACACAATGAAGATCATATATAAGCTCGCAATGCACTAGGCATTATATTAAAATTGTTAGTACATATGGGCCAGCTTGTTGAGATGAACGGTAAGAATGAAAACAAAACTTGACCTTAAAAAAGCATGTGGTCATTGTTAATAACACAATGAAGACAATATATATATAAGCACACAATGCTCGGCATTCAAATTGTTTTTAGAGCAGGTACAATAGCAGACTATTAGCCAGCTATAAATATATTTTAATAGATAAAAGATGAGAGAGAAGAGCAGCGGGCTACAGATCTGTAGCCAACTGCAGCACGGACTCTAAGACACAATATGTGTATGACAGGTGGGACTATATATTAATAGTATAGTAAGCAACTATTGTATGAATTGATTATAGATAAATTGGAGCTAGTAGTGGGCTATACTATAAAATTTGCTTTTACACACGGCCTCGAGATGCACGCTGTGAATGAAAACAATACTTGACCCACAACAAGCGTGGTCATTTGTTAACTTTAATATCCATCCATTTTTAATCGATCAGCATCAAGCGAGCCCTAGACGTAATCTATTGACTCTCGGAGAAACTAATAATGGGGAAGCAAAGGCTGCTAGCTAGAGATAAATTTGTTTCACTCGAGCGGATGTCGTTTTTTCATATATATCACTGTTATCAATTTTTATTAATAATATAGATTAATTTTAGATATATCATTCATAAACATTGTAGAGTCAAATTTAGTTTCTACGATAAGTTATAATAAAAAGAACAAATTAATTAACTCTAGTTAGTACGTACATTCACACAGTTATATTTGTAGAAGTTGATCTTAATTACTTGCATTTGCATGTTCGTAGTATATGCCTATATGGTATCACATAGTAATTTATCATGTTAACGCTTTTCAGAATATTAAATAACTATTTACCTGATGATATGGAAGAAACGATGGGAGTTCCCTTAAGAAAAAAAATAGTTTTGCATGCAAGGCCGCTTGACCTGATGGATCAGTGAATCACAAGTTACAGTCAAGATCTAATCTTGTTCTCAGCATAAATAAATATACCGGTTACTCAAATCGAATCCCAACGGATCAACTTGACATTATTTATGTACTCTATACGGAGGAAATGCAAAGACCTTAGCTGGCTTGCTCGGCTAACGGGACGAGACACTACTTGAAAAAAAAAGATTTTCCATGGCGTCACTCTTTTATTTTTACTAGCAGATTAAAAAACAAACGCTTCAAAATATATATCAAAGGGATTCCGGACACAAGTCGCCGGTAAAATTAAATTTTTGCTGGCGGTCGCTATTTTTCCACGTGTACCACTTAAGAAATCGTAAGTGAAAATCGATTTTCGTTAGGTGCATATCAAAGGAATTCTGGACACAAGCCGCCGGTAAAATTAAATTTTTGCTGGCGGTCGCTATTTTTCCACGTGTACCACTTAAGAAATCGTCAGTGAGAATCGATTTTCGTTAGGTAGCTAATTAAAAGCACTGCTCGCAAAATTAATGTCACCTTACTGAATCACGACCCATCCCACCTGGCCCAGCCCTCTCTCCACCTCTCTCCCATCTTCTTTCTACTCCCTTTGGATCTCTCCACCACCTCCTGAGTCCGTATCGACCAACGAGGAGGCCGTGGCCGCTGAATCTAGCGAACCTCTACGTTGGTGGATCTGGTTGGCCAGAGCGGGCTAGGTCGAACGATGACTGACGAGGAGAAATGGTGGTGGGACTTGAGCCAGGACCACCAGATCTAGCAATGGTGATGGTCGTGCTTGGGACCGCAGCGGCGGTGTCCCTCGGTGGCTAGGGTTGCAATCGGCTCGGTGATGGCGGCAATGATGACAAACCGCAGCTCGGGCGCTAGCTGCGATGACCTCGATCGCAAGTAGGTACATCCATATCCGGGCGGCGGTGTGCTAGCTGCAATGACGACGTGCTACTTCCGGCCTGCTGCTTGGTGACGACGGCGATGGCGTTTTGCTGCTTCAGCCAACCTTAGGGATTTGGGGATGCTAGTGTTGATGCACGTTATTGAGGATTTGGGGATTAGGGATTTAGGACAACCTTAGAGATTTGCGGATGCTTATGTTGATGCATGTAATTGGGGATTTTGGGGATTATAGATTTGGGATCATCCTGATTTTTTTTCTCCTAAAAACATTTTCGCTAGTAAGTCTCTTTAACTGCCGTCAACGAAAATCGTTGTTTTCACTAGCAGCCTTATTAACTTGGCCACCTCCCAAAGTCAATTCTCACTGGCAGCCGAACATTGTCAGTGAAAATTTATTTTTTTCACTTGCCTTAGGTCACTAGCGGCGCCACGGGCCACCAGCAAAAACCTATTTTAGTCGCCAGTAAAAACTTGTTTTGTAGGAGTGAGTTTAAAAGGTCAGGCTGTGGTTAGTAATTAAAGAAGAACGACCTTTTTTTGAGCTTAGGGAAGAACGACCTGGATTAGTGGATCACTAGCTTCAAGATCTAACACTACGTAAAAAAAATAACCATCACTGCTAGCTCATCATTACCGGTTCACATTAATTAACCATTCTCGGTTCTCAAATCTCAAGTGAAACAAGCACAGGGCCTTCTGGAGAATAAGAAGGAACAAAATGTGGCAAGTACACCAACTAGCAGTGTGAATTAGAAACCAGTTGATTCTGTAGATTATCAAGTAATCTGCTGATCTTCAGAATGCGGCGATCCCTGAAAATTATCATAGCGATATTATGTAGGATAAATTCCTTATTCCGTATTTCTGTAGTGGTGCTCTATCTTGTTCCACCTATTTATCAAACTTCAATTCCAAGTAAAAACTCACTATATACCTGTCGAGATTTCGTGATGGTTTCTCTATTTCCTCACACATTCGCAACTAACCAATCGGAAATAAACTTTGTACTACACCTGGCTCAGGTTCGGAAATAAACATGTGGTCAAACCGGCCAGGGACCTCGGGTTTGGGTTTTGTTAATGCTGATCAAGATGGATCTCCAAAGGCTACAACTTTGACCAATGAAGGTACAGAACGTGAAAGAACTTCTAAAGTTGCTGCCCCTTTGTATATTCAACGGTGATATCCACTGAAACAAATTATCGGTAATCTTATTGAGCGTACTACAAGGTCTAATGTAACAATTCATGATGTTTGTGCAAATTTTGCGTTTGTTGTTTTTTTCGAACCTAAAGATGTACTCATGTTTTAACTGGTGAATCATGGATTAATATCATGCATAAATAACTTAAAAATTTTGAGAGAAACAAAGTTTGGACTTTAGTTGAAACACATTCTGGACATAATATTATTAGAACTAAATGGATTTTCAAAAATAAACAAAATGAGGATGATTTAATTGTAAGAAATAAAGCTAGACTTGTTACTCAAGGTTTTACTCAGGTGGAGGGCTTGAGTTTTAATGAAACTTTTGCTCCTGTTGCTAGAATTGGGCAATTTTACAGTCATTTGGAAGGTAGCATAAGTGGTACCTCATGGTACCTTCTCAAGGACGGTAAAATTATTGCATGTGAATTTATTGTATTTCTTCTATATTTCATAAAAACATTTCAAATCATTTCTTTAAAAACTATCACTGGATTTACAATTATTGCATGATGAAAATTGATATCAATGTGCATCACTTGAAGTTCATACCAAGCCATAGTAAGTAGTTATTAGCTAATATCAAGGAATCGCTATTTGCGCAATGCTGAATGCTCTGTTTTCAACTAAGGCTGTCTGTATAAAAGGCAATGGTTTACTTTACTTATTGGCACCCAGAATATATTTTCATTTATTTTACAGAGGATAATAGCATTATGTAGCTTCAGAAATCAGAATTATGCAACGATTGTGACGAGTTATGTAACTTCATCTATACCAGGTGATGACTGATACAGCCTCCACGGAGGGGCTCTGCCATCTGGCAATTGTCTTAAACCCATATCTGCAGTTAAGTGTTTCAGGAGCAGACCCATTGTATCTGCAGTTAAGAAAATAATGGTAAAAACCCAGGAACAATGATCAGCAGTTAAGAAAATATTCTCTGTATAGGCATTCATGCACACACTATCAAGTTGGCTATAATGCACCTCAATTTCAGAGAAAAGAGTCTCTGTTGGCCAATAGTGAACTCTAAAGCCTGCTAATATTTCTATGACCATTTTGAGTGTACCTGAAGGGAGTAGCCGATGATATACATACCGACTATAAAATAAGGGGAGTACGCAAAAGCGCACCTTTGTATTAAGAGGAATAAAATCTACAGGAGGGACCAAGCCAAAGAAAAAAGGGAGACGGGGGAGCGGAAGAAAAAAGGAAAGGAAAAAGGAAGGAAGGTCTTAAGCCTACTCTCGCACTAACGGTGTGACGACCGGATGACCTATTAGAAATTACAGGGTATTTCAACATACCGACTATTTAGAACTGCAAGAAAAACTATACAGGGTATGAATCTACTAGAAATTACATGATCAATTGACCTGCAATAAAACTGAAGACATTGCTATCTGGTTGGCGACCAACTCTCATGTACTTCACATTCCCCACAGAAAATAGTTGGAAGGTGTATATCTGGAGTGGACTGTACAACATCAGCTTGAGGTGCTCGAGAAATTAATCCAACATCTGTAAATGGTACAAAAAAACAATCTGACCTGTAGAATACACTAGCAAAAATGTAAACCAAAGCTTTGTACAGTAACGAAAATTCTGAACGACAGGCTAATGCAATTACTCTATACCTGTTAGAAGATCACAATTTCTTTCATTGGTCAAACATAAATTGCATATTCATAGAAATCACACACATCCTCCACATTCACATCAATGGGTGCAGTTCAGCTCAGTATTCACATTCACATCAACGGTATAATACCTGACGTTCAGCTTGAATATTCAGAGTTCATGAATCATCACGTTATACATGCATGCATATTAAAGCGAAATTTCTAGTTGCACACTAACTGTGAACACTCTCAACTTTTCCTTTTTACCCCTATCTATTTGGAAGCTAGTTATTAGATCCATGTGTTCAAGCTAAACTTTGTTGAGAAAGCTGTGAAATTCTCGAAAACAATTACCTTAAAAAGCGCTTTAGCACTTTATATACTACTGCAAACCTACCTACTGCGCAGCACAGCAGTACAACCCTTTCAGCACATGAGTACTGAAAACTGAATGCAGATGCATGTGCTGATCAGGAAATGCATATGCACGTACTGATGTACTTCCTTTCATTTATTTAACTAATCACCACCAGCTCAAGTCAATGAGTGTGTGAGTCAGTAAAAATAAGTACTCCTACCCAGCTTGCTCAGCACCTGTCATAAATAGTTCACAAAAATCACACACGTCCTCCACATTCACATCCTCCATATTCAACACCAATTTTTTTTTCAAATAAGAATTTAACTCAGAATTTACAGGGACAGTATAATACCTGCAGCAGGAGAGCATATTTGGCGAATCCTATATCCCTGAATAGGCAGCCTCATCCATGCCACATCCAGTCAGTGAGATCACCTGTTGCTTTTAGGTATAAAAATATTAACTAGAGAAACTTAATACATGATTAGATAAGTGTCGTAGAAAACAAATAGATAAACTTAATTCATGTTCAAGACATTAAGAAAACCACATCAATCCAAATAACTGATCTACAAGATACATAGAAAATGTTTAAAGGGTACGTTCTGCTCATTAATTCTAAGTCTATGTATCCTTTGTCATTGATCGGCTATCTAAAGTATCACTAGGGCCGCCAGCCTCAATCAAACCCATTAGCCCAGCAGGAGCTCTTGAAATGTTGTATGCACCGTTCGACGAGATGATATGTGTGACGATGAATCCACATAGTTGTTTAGCGAGGCTGAAGCAAACATGTGGCAGCAATTTACTTGTCGGGAGTTTTAATTTCTGCAAATGGAAGGATTGAAGATGTGAAAACGTACTATGTGTTTAGAAACTTGGATTTACGTCTTAAGAAACATGGCAAACCTCAGAATCCGTAATGTTCCAGTTGCCATCCTCCATGAAAACCCTCATAAATTTCATCACGTAGAACCCACATGTACTCGTGCCCGGATCCTGGCGTGAGCAATAAGGGTGGCACCAGACCCGGAATGTATTTGAACACGGAGCGTGTTGAATACGCTTCTTATACTTCACAAGTGCCTTATCTAGGGTGTCAACGAGGGATTGAAACTTGGCTTGCGGGGTCCTCATTCCATCCATGACAACAATCTTGGAATCGTTTAAATGGATAGCAAGAAGGATCCAGTGAGGCCTACATACAAGGGAAGAGAACAATTAACATCTTAAAGTACAAATGAGAGGCACAGCGATAAATGCCACACTTACTTAAAGTGGTAGGGCAAAAGGATGGTATTCATGTCTTGTAGCTTGACAAAGGATGTGTACAGGTAGTCCAACACTTCTTTTTCGGACTTTTCACCTCCCTCAATTTTAGTGGAATTGACTATTTGTGGATCGAGGAATCCTAGTTTGTTATGGGTCGTTCTACATTCAAGTGCTCCCATTCTGCATAAGGAAAAAATTAAACATGCAACGAGGATATCTACTTAGAAAAAAGAGCGAGGGGTTGAGTATACTTACAATACCCATAACTGAATTAGCGATAAGTCTACCTCCTTCAGATTGTATAGCTGAAAAAGTTCTTTAAATGGGACCCAAACTATACCATCACAGTGATGAAAGTCCTCGTCCCTGTAAAAGACGGGGAACATCACCTTACCCTCCTTGGCCATCTGTAAGTACCACTCTTCTACCCTTCTCATCTGAGTACAATTGCCAATGACCTTGCGATATTCGTCGGTAGTTAAAGAATAACCGAGCTTGAACTGAGCTGCCAACGGGGACTTCGCAATATTGTCTACATCAGACAAACTTTGGAGGCCTGCACCTTCCAGAAATTCCTGCACATTCTTGTTGGCCTCGTCTTTCTCAAATTCTTTCTTTGAAAATTCTTTCAATCTTTTTTTCCTGGTCGTGCGTCGGAAGTCTGAAATAGGTGGTTTTGGGGCAAGTGGTCTTGCCATGCGATTGAAGTGGTCATGTACTGCAACTGGCACTTTCACATTTGTCGCCTCCTTTATTTTGTCCCCTTTATGTTTAAGGAGCAATGTTATGCTCCCGCTCATCTCCTTTTTTTCCTTCAAAGATGGCACCAACATGTTAGGCAGTGGCACCTTCTTGGGCTTCTTCAGAGATGGTGGTTCAGACATCTGGGAAGTTTTACACAGGCGCCCCCGCTTCTTCAGCGGGATTGAAGAAGCTAAGCTCTGATGTTTTGACGATGGAGGAGATGGGCTCTTACAGTGTGCTGGTGGAGGAGACGGGCTCTTACGTGGCAACAGTGGTGTTGGCATCCTTCGGGGGGAGACAACAAGCCCTTCTGAGCTAGACCCACCATCGCTTGGCTCATCATCGCTGTCTCCTGAAGGGAAGACAATGAAACGCTTGCGCCACAGGATAATGTTGTGGATGGCTTTTCCAAGAGTGTTCACCCCCTCGTCTGGAGCAAAATCAAGTTGGATTGCCCTGTATCTACTCGACACATACTCCACTTCGACCCTTGAGTAGCCACATGGTATCGGATTACCGTGTATCCTTTCACCCTCCATTACGGGATGTGCCATACCATGTGCCACCTCTACAGTGATGTTCTGAAGTGGCAAATGCAGCCTGCATGCAGTACGTACATGGATGTCATCTACGGGGTAACGAGCCATGCCTAGTTCTTGAGTAACCTCAATTGAAGCGGAATTGCTTTTCCTCCCACCTGGACTGATTACACGGCCAACATCGCCTACATCCTGCCTTTCGAGCCTCGCCATTATCAGGTCCATTCGTTCCTTCAGTTGCCTTATCTCTTCTGATTGGTCTCCAGAATTTGTATTACTCCGAGACCGGTACCTACGTTTGTCTTCAGGAAAACCTTCCCTCCATGGAACTAGGCCTACTCCTCTTGTGCGTCCCGGATGCTCAGAGTTCTGCAATGCAAGTGTGAGCTCATCTTTCTCCCTGTTCGGAACAAAAGAACCCTCTAAAGACTTTTGATGGGCATCATGGAGCCTTTGGGACACTTCTTGCGATCGTGGACCCTTGTGTACCAACTCGCCAGTATCCGAGAGTGTTGCCCCTCGGGCGTATTGATAATTCTTTCCTCGTTGGGACCAATCCTTCGTCTCTATCTCGATTCCCTTTTGTAATAGCTCATCTTCCCTCTCTTGCCATTTGCCTACGTTCTTAGCATATCCGCTAGGGCCGAGACGGTGAGGGTACAAATTTTTGGCCGCATTGGCCTGGTTCCTTTCGCTAATCTCCTTTGCCTCATCTGATGTTCTGTAGGCCACAAAGTCATCCCAGAAAAGGCGTCACCTTCGATAATTGGGATCTTCAAAATTTGGTGTCAACCCCTTCTTGACAAACTTCTTGGTAAGGTCCATCTTAAACTTCTTGAAGCTGAGGGACATCCTCTGAAGGGCCTTGTGCTTTGCAAGTTCTTCTGAACCCTCGGGGAACTGGAATGTCCGCTTCAACCTTTCCCAAGCAAGTTCCTTGTCTCTGTCTGGTACCATCCACTCCAATTCATCTGGATCTCTGGTCTTCCAGTGTCGGTACTTGATGGGGATGTCATCCTTCACGATGACACCTATAGCATTGGAATATGGGGTGAGTGCTGATTCTGGAGCTGTAGGGTTCCCATCTGCATCTAACGCTGTGATAGTGTAAAGGCCAATGGGCATCTTGGTTGGACCTCTACCCCTTCTTATCGATGAGGTGGCAGTATCCCCAGAGTGCGTTGTGGCCGAAGGATTAACGTCCTTTAAAGAAAGGTATAAATTAGTCATTCAGAGCGGATATATGTACAATTGAGGTCTTATTTGTTCCATACGGGTGAATTTACCTCCATGTTATCGGGGTTATCACTTGGGCTAACATTACCACCATCGCTTTCTCCAGAATTTGCAGGCCAATTGTTATCTTGTTCCCGTGACATTTTCCTTTGTAGACCTAGAATAGAACTATTGAAAAAAACGTTAAGCATGAACCACAAGGTTTGAATAAAACAGTTGTTGGAGTTCCCTTTCATGGAAACCAAGGAGACAATAACATCAAAGATAAAACAATCGATAGCATAGATTTTGGACAACAACAACATTAGCAGGTTTGCACACATTTTATGACCAAGTACACACAAAAAAATGGATATCCCATCCAAGTTTCAGAATCAATTAATTAACAGCACATGTTTTTTATTGGAGCAACAAAAAAAAAGAGCAATTACAAGCAAAAATTGTATAAAAGATTATATTGACGACAAAAAATATTTCATAGGCGGAGCAAGGAGGATGAAATCATGTCATAATTTGTCACCATGCTAAGATGCTAGATCTATGTTATCAGAGCAAAGACAAAGCAGAGCACTAATAATTTCCATGACTCACCACAAACTGTAGGGGAGCTTGGTATAAGAGCTTGCAGTAATGATTTACATGACTCGACCATTTCAGATCAATCAGCAAGACTGCTGCAACCATGCACAGACCTACAGCTACAGGAATGATCTCCTCTCTGTACGCCATTTTTTTCAACAAGATGTTAAGGTATAGGCACATATGGATTATATGGATTCATGGCTAAATGAAATGACTAAGTAACCCCCATATAATGGTACAAGAAGTGTGCCTATTAGCCTTTCAGGCCACTGTTTCAACTGTTGATGACTAAAATGGCTTTTGGTAAACTAAACCAAAACCAAGTGGATCCCAGTAAACAATGCTTTGAACATGCAAATTAACAACTCTATGTGTCTACAACTCATGCTAATGTGCGATAACATGAGAAGCTAATTGAAACAGATTTGACAAAGGTGAGATCCTTCGAATTTTGAAACAATTTTCACGCCTAAAACAGAGATCAACCAATCAGAACATCAGTATTAGAGGCTATTCACCACTTGGAAGCTGTTAACAGTTTTTCACACTTGACATGGCGGTATAAGCAGTCAAAGAATTTTCAATGAGCCACTGTCCATCTGCAAGTATTCCTTTTTCTTGTTACAAAAATAATTATGGCCGATCTGAATCTTAATGGTGCAATGTGTGTTTGTGCAGGGCATACTTCTGGGTCCTAAAGGGAGATAAATGATGTTAAAATTCGTTGAGTCACATGCATTATGAACAGATCTATCCATCCATCTGCCTTATTGGAGGGTGATGAGGGCTCTACATGCATCTGCATATGCATCCCATTTCCCATGTGACATGTTCTTCAGCTTCCATCCAATCTATCCATGTCCTCCTCCCTCCTCACCCCACACCACCCACTCAACAACAGCAAAAAAATCTTTTTCTCAATTTCCACAATGAAATCAGCACAGCAGGCTCAACCAAAGAAACAATTATCAGCAATGATCCAACAACCATACATTGTTTACAGGGGAGGGGAGAGGGGAACACACCACAGTGGCGGAGAAGAGCCACTGGACGAGAGCCGCGGTGAAGAAGTGAGAGCCGGCCTGACGCCTTGGTCCTTGGAGCTCCGGGCGACGATGACAGACGACGGCGTTGGCGTTGGCGGAGTCGGCGGCGGGCGACGAGGGTGGCGACCAACGAGGGGACGGCCGTGGCGGGGCGGGCCGTGTAGATCCAGGCGCTGGAGGGCGACGGCGGCGGCGCTGGCTGGCGGACGGCGGTGGATCCGGAGGCGGCGACTGCAGCAGATAGGGGGAAGAGGGGGAGTGAGGTGCGGTGCCGCACCATATATGTATAGAGCATAGGTGTCGGTTCTCTCCCATAGGTTGCGGTTATAAACCTGGGCCGGCACTTTATAGTGGTCAAAGGTACCGGATCTAATGAGAACCGGCATCTTTGGTCATTCTACGATTTTTAATTTACTCATCATACCAAGTAATATAGTGCTCTTGCTCTTGCTGTTTGCTTAATCATTTGTACATTTTTTCCTTATGAATATATGGCACCAAATCGCAATGTTTCAAAATATTTTCAAATTTTTTCATCAACTGTTTACTGCCAATTTTTTTCTCCACTTTTTGATATGAGCGCTTGACATTCTGGGTTCTCGTGTAAAATGTATGCCCATTAATGTCGTACCCTTGGAATGAATGAATTGTGCTCGTCGGTCCCACTGTCAGGATTCAGCCTATGCTGTGGGTTCTCGGTACGGAGTGTGTTGTCATGCACGTCAATAAATGGACAAAGAATGATAGCTACCTCAAGAAACTGGCAGATGCCATGAATGGTGTGCTGCCAATGGTGAGTGATCAAAGTCAAATAAATGACGGAATTTGTGTTAATTTTATTTAAACTAGTTGGGTGGCCCGCGCAATTGCGCGGCTAGCACCCAAACAAAATCATATATTTTTTTAGTATGATTTTACTTAAAATTTATTAAATAGCTATCTCGTGTTTCTAACTTATCATTCTCGTGTTTCTAACTATATAGGTTTTAAAAGTCACACCAGTTGCTACCCCTTACGTCATCTTCTTTTTTATTTGCTTGCTCGATCTACCACTATTTCTATTTATTTTTTTTGGAACCTTTAAAAATTGGATTTTATAGTTTTTAGAGTTTATTGTCATGATGGGTTTCGTTTTTATAATTTATAGATGTCCCGTCAAACGTTGTCATTATACTCCTCTACGGCCCGTCCACTGTTTCTTCTCTTTATTGTCATTAAGATTTTAAAAATCAAACATAATTATCGTTTGGGTTCATTTTTACTTTCTAGAAGTCCGACTAAACCATCAGCGGCTTTGCCATTATACTTCTCTACGGCTCGCCCGCTGCCTCCCTTCTTTATTGTCATTGAGATTTTAAAATCGAACATGATTATCATTGGGTTTTTTTACTTTTTGGAAATTCCGAACTTTTAAAAATTGGACTTGCATTTCATTTTTTATAATTTTTAGAAGTCCTATCAAACAATGCCACTATACCCCTCTACAACTTGTCCGACACCTACTCTTTATTATCATTGTGATTCTAAAAATCGAACATAACTATCGTTGGAATTCATTTTTTATTTTCTAAAAGTCTCGTCAACCGTCGGCGGCTCTACTTCTTCTTTTTATTGTCATTGAGATTTTAAAAATCGAATATGATTATCAATAGGGTTTATTTTTTTACTTTCTAGAAGTCCCAGCAACTGCCTTACTTGTTTGCTTCACGGCCTGCTAGACGTCCTTCTTTTTAATCGTCATTAGGATTCTATTTGGTGTTTTATCAACAATTTTTATATGTCGTATGAACCGCTACCACTCTCCTCCTGACGGAGCGTGGGGCTCCTCACCGGGAGACCGCGCAGGCCCCCCTTTGCCGGTTCGGCCGGGGGCGCTAAGTGAGGTTCTTCACCCTCGATCTGTGGAATGTTCGCGAGAGAGCAAATGCACAAGACACGGGCGATGTATACAGGTTCGGGCCGCTGAGAAGCGTAATACTCTACTCCTGTGTTATGGTGGATCTGTGTTTGAAGGAGTTACAGAGAACTGGAAAGCAAGAGAGTACAGGCTCTAGAACCCCTCTTCCTCTTTCTCTCCTTCTTTTCCTCTTTTTTCTTGTTCTGGATCTGGATCTCCCCCCCTCTTCGGTGGGCAAGGTCCTCCTTTTATATCTCAAGGGGATACCACATGCACCACTTCTACCTCCCCTTCTTTTGGGTAAGGATTTACAATGGCTGCTGTCCGAATGACCCTCCGATGGGATGGGTCATACCTACCTCCACTTCGCCGGAAGCAAATACAACATGGGAGCACGGTTTGTCTGCCGATGACGTGATCGGCGTCAGACCAGTCACAGACCGGTCATTCTTGTCCACCACGCGTCTGTTTAGCATGCCGCACATCTGTCCTTCTTCATACAATGACTTCCTTGCAATGGTTGCGATGAAGCCTGGCATGAATCTGGCCGGGACTGACGTGCCAACTCCAGGAGTTACCACGCCGGCTCCGGCTAGGGACGAGTGCCTGGAGACTCTCATCATTCCGATGGGACGGGGCGAGACGAGTGTCAGGCCGCCTGTTGCCACCTAACCCGCGATCTGACCGGTTTGTGACCGGTCACGTACTGCGACCGGTCACGGACCGGATAAGCGAGCGCGCTGCGCTTGCATTAAATGCGGCGTGGCGCGCTCGTCCAACCCGCAATAAGTGCGGTTAGGTGAGCGCCGCTGTGCTCACCTAACCCACACACGTGGCGCCAACACCATATGGGGTCGGGGCGCCCCAGCCCTCGGGGCTGAGACGGGAGCGGCCCGACCCCTCGGGGAGACAGAGGGAGGGGTGGCCACGTCACCCTCGGGCCCGACCCCCCCGAGGGGGTCAGGCCACGTGGGTGAGCGCGGCTGCCCAAGCCTCTAGTCACGATACTCCCGGTCCCATGTCATCGACAGTAGCCCCCGGCGTTATGCCAGGGCGATCGTCCCCCTCGAGGGAAGCGCTCGGGCGTGACGCCAATCCTTGGTGACAGGTGGGGCCGGTCTCTACATGCGGGCAGAAAGCCAGCGATCGCAAATCGTGCACATCGGTAAGGGAAAACCGACTGACAATAATGAGCGGTCTCTTCGCGACCGCTACATTACTCGAGCAGCGTGCGAATCGAGCTGATTCGTTTCGCCTGGAGACATGATGATGGCGCTTCGGTCGGCGAGCGTAGTTAACGCGCGCTCGATCTGTCCTATCTCAACCGCCGCGGCCGCATATCTGCCGCGCGCGCCGCAAACGGGCGAGTGAGGTCAGTGTAGGCGTGGGCGCGAGAAACGAGGGGGCGAGATAGTGGGCGCGGGAAACGAGGAGCCAGGCATAGCGTTGGCAAGGGAATAAAGACGCCGAGGAAGGGATTTGCTTCCTTCCTCTCGCCACTATTCCCCTTGCCTTCGCCACTTGCGCCCTAACTCTTCGTTTCCTGTGCCCTACCCTTGCCGCTCTCGCTCGCTCTCAAGCCTTTTCCTCCGCCGGCGTAATGGCACGGGGCTCCGCACTGCTCGATGGTAGCGTGCTGCCGCCTTCTCGCATCGTGAGCGAGAGGCAGGCCGGGCTGCCGCGCCGATTCATGCCGGAATCTGCCACCGGCTGGGAGGTGGTCGAGCTGGGCGAGGGACGCCTGGCGCCACACTACTCGGGGCGGTCCGTCTTCTTCCTCTCTTTCGCAATGGCAGGGCTGGTCCCGCCATTCTCTTCTTTCTTCATGGATGTTCTGGAGTTTTATAATCTCCAGATGGCGCACCTCACCCCCAACGCGGTAATGACGTTGGCCATCTTCGCGCACCTGTGCGAGATGTTTATCGGGGTACGCCCATCTCTTCGGCTGTTCCGGTGGTTCTTCACCGCACAGCCGGTGTCGCCGCCGTCGGTAGTCAGTGGCTGCTACTTCCAGCCGCAGGGGCCGGTGCTGAGCCGCTACATTCCCTGCGTCCTCCGCAAGAAGTGGGACGACTGGAAGAGCGACTGGTTCTACACCCCCCTTGCCGACGAAGCGCGCCTCCGACTTCCGAGCCAGCCCCCGGCGCAGGCCTCCAGCTGGCGGGCGCCGGTAGATCTGGGAGACGGCTACGACGCCGTTCTTGACCGCCTGGCGGGTCTGCGATCCCAGATGCTCACAGGGGCCATGGTGTACGGCGACTACCTTCGTCGCCGGATCGCGCCGCTCCAGCGGCGTGCCCGGGGCGCCTGGGAGTACACCGGGTCCGAGGATTACATGAGGACCCACCAGGGGGGCAGATGGGACTGGGTCCCTGAGGACTTCAAGATGGTGGTCCAACGGGTGCTGAATCTCAGCTCCGTGGAGGCATCCCTCATCCCCCAAGGAGTCCTCCCCCTCTGCAGCGATCCAGATCGCGCCAACATCCTGACCATCATGCAGGCGGTCGGGGCGTCGGAGGAGCGGGCTCCTCGAGGCCACGATGGCGCGGGTGGGAGCCGCAGGGGGGAACAATCTACCCCGGGAGGGGGTCGTGCTTCTGGGCCCCACGACGGGGGCCCGAGGGGCAGCCGCCCTGCCGACGCCCGGGGGAAGAGGAAGCAGGAGGGTACCCCTTCCCCATCTCCTCCCCGGGGGGGCGGGGCGGTGCGTGCCAGCAGCAGGCGCCCGGAGAGTGCCGTGCCGACGCCGCGGCCCGAGGGGGAGCGAAAGAAGAAGCGGCTCCGCAAGATGGGGGAGATCGAAACATGCCGGGGAAACCTCATCTCACCCCCAAGGTGGTCGTTTAGCCGACCTCCCCGCAGGTTCGTCCTCGCGCCCACCGCGGCCGTACTCATTCTCCCATCTCCCAAGGCGAGTTTTCACTTACCCGTTTCTTTTTGTCTTCTGGTTTTTCTTCTGCTTCAGCGAGATCCCGTCGTGCCCCCCTCGCCATTCCAAGTCCGGCTGGTCTGAGGCCGAGGAGGCGGCGACCGTGGAGGCCCGGAGGCGGGAAGCTGACCGGCGAGATGCCGTAGACCGTCTCCGGGAAGCCGAGGAAGCTGCCCAGGAGGCCGTCCGGGTTCGCCAGGCTGAGGAAACCACTCGGGAGGAGGCCAGACTCCGCTGGGCCGAGGAGTCCGTCCGGGAGGTAGAGGCGGCTCGCGCATGCCAGGCGGCCTGCCAAGCCCTCGAGCCGACTCCGCCCGAAGCGACGACGACTTCCGAGGCCACCCACGACGAGGCCGCGGGCGCACTGCTCGGGCCCGACCCCTCGGACGACGTTCGGGACGGGCCAGCTTCGGGGGACGCCCCCGAGTCCGGCACGTCGATCGGCGGGCCGAGCCGCGCGGCGCCCACACCGAGGCG